AGTTGCTATACTGAATATAGCAGGCGGTTTCAAGCAAAGAAACGAATACCACACCACTGCTACTATAGTCACTTAAATAAAACTAACCAATGAAATGGGAATTGAATTCTGATTTCGATAATAATCAATGATTTGAATCAGTGCTGAAAACCAAAGGAAGCGAACACGACGAGGAAATTCGGCGGAATTTATCGCACGCTCCTTGTGATCGGATGGGTCAGATTTGTGCGCGTGGCTCTGGTAACAGTGGTTGTACCGTTATGCAGGGCTAAGAAAACAAATGCCTTGGTTCTTCTAACTAAGTCGACATCTTCGATTGATTCAGGTCTTGGTTTGAATCAAGTCAGGCTTCCTTTTGATCCTCGTAGAAGACCAGGCGATTTTCCCCTAAGGTAAATTACATGTTCACTTTGAACATATAATTTTAACCTATAATTTTATATCTGTGTCTTTCTTCTTGGCTTCTTAAAATTTTTCTATTATATTTTAGAATTTTTTTTGGAGAATGTTGTGTTGTCGAAGTGGCTTGAAATCTGGGCTTAGAAGATAAAACCAAGTTCAAAATGATTGCGCTCCAAGAAAGCTTACCCCTCGATGCCATTAGCTGCACCATCAAATTATGTTGTATTGTTTATATCTGTCTATCACAACTGATAACTACATCAAGCCTTTTTCCTGTAGTGTAGAAATTTTTTTTCTGCATTGAACCGCTACTTGGGTGAGATTTTTTTGTTAAAAGGATAAATGCTTTGATTATATGCTTTTTAACATGGGAAACACAAAAGATCGTTAAGGGGTGGGTGGGTGGCCGAGGCCTCATAACCCTGACCCTGCTAGGGAAGAAACTTTTATTTTCCCCCACCTTGTTGAAGGTAAATATCATGTGGATCTTGGCATATTGACCCAGGCACCCCTGTCTACTGTAATGAGAACGATGACATGAAGACTCGGGAACTCAAATGCCACACCCTGCTCAACACTTGTCATGACAGGCACCTCGTTCAAGACATTCTTCATAAGATTGTTCAGCTTGTTTGAAATTCTAGATCCGAAAACCGCCTTCTGTTTGACGAGTATACCTGTTTAGCCTGATGAGGGAGAACCCTCGGGTGCGAAGGAAACAGTGCCGCTTTTATTACTTACGGTATACTTGACAATTTCCTCTTGCAGGGGACCACCTCGTGTACCTGAAATGCGTCACGGGTTATCGGAACCCATTAGACCCCACGGACTTCCCCCGGAACATGTGCCCCGTGTACCTGCTATCCGTCCGGGTTTGAGTGGTCTACGCCACCCCGGTCCACCTCCTTATCTCCCCCCGGCAATCAGAGGGATGCATGCAGCAGCACCTGCTCTTCCTCGTATGCCTCCTGTTCCTGCCCTGGTTGCGGCTCCGTTGCCACGCCATCCAGCCTTCGGACCACCCGCGATGTTCGACCCACTCCATCCTGGCGACCGTGGGTCTCTCACGCCGCCAATGTCCGAACGAGAGTTCTACAAAATGCAAAAGAAACTAAAAACGAGGTAAAAAAAGAACTCCTGTTTGGCCACGCTCAATGGCAACGTAGCGTTCATGTTAGGCCACTTCCATCCTTAGCCTTTACATTGCTTATCTAATGTTGGACATGCTTTCTTTTCATAGAGGCAAGAAAAAGCGAGAGCATTCGTCTACCACTCGTCCCAAAAAAGTTCCTAGGAAGGAAGGCAGTAGCTTCGACTTTGATGACGAGCTCCTAGAATACAGAGAACTTCAGAAAAGCCGTCAACGTTTACGTTCTCGTTCTTTGACTCCAACTCGCTCATGGTCGCGCTCGCCATCACTCCGATCACGGTCAAGGTCACGGTCCTTTTCACGCTCAAGATCGCGGTCACGTTCCCTTTCACGATCCTCTGGAAGTCCCGCACGAGCGCCCACTCCAGAGGGCTGGGACGAATCCAGGTCTCCTTCGCCTACTCCGTCACGTGGTCAGAGTGGCGGCGCAAATTCTGCAGAAGAGCAGAAAAAGAGACATAAAAAGAGAAGAAAGGAACAGAAAAGTACAGGACAGAAGAAACAGAAGACTTCGCATAAAGATGAAAAGCCAATGGAACAGAAGGCGGGAATTGGTGGTGTTAAGGAGGAGGAGAAAAAGAAGCTCAAAAAGCAGAATGTGAAAGATGACAAGGGTGAAATGAAGGACAAGACTACGAGGGTAGAAAAAGGCAAAGATAAACCGAAAGAAAGTAAAACGAGTAAAGAGAAAGAAAAATTAAAGAAAAAGGATAAGGACAAGAAAATAGTTAGTGATAGGGAGGGGAAAGGAAAGGAGAGAGACAGCAAGAAACAGGGTGAAAAGAAATTAGTAAAGAAAAGCAAAGAGGGAAAGGAAATAGGAAAGAAAAGCAAAGAGGGAAAAGAGAAACGGAAGAAAAAAGATAAGGATAAGAAAGAGGAGTCCTCGGGTAAAAAACGTAAGAGTAAAAAGAAACACAAGAAACATAAACGGCATAAAAAGGGAAAAAATAGGGGAGAGAAGACTGGCAGTGAAGAAGAGGAGGCAGGGAATAACTTTGAAAGTAAGGAGAATGAAAATAAAGATGAATCATCTGAGGCTGGCAACCCTGATGGTAAAACTACCACAGATGAAGAAAAAGATGATCGAGGAACCGATGGAGCTGGGCATCAGGAAGAAAGTGATGAGGAAGGAAGTGATAGTGATGAAGGAGATCAAGAAGATATGGAGGAGGATGGAAAAGACCAAGAGGGGAAAAAAGTACTCGAGAGTGATGATGTCTGGGAGAAGTCGAGTGAAAGTGATGAAGATATGGCAGAGAACGGAAGCGACTTAGAGGAACAAGACTGCAGAAAAGCTAAGACGTCTATGGCTAAAGTAAGTGAAGTGAAAGGGAAGAATCAAAGAGAAGAGGAATTACTAGAAAGTGATCAGGAGGCTGAAAAAAGGGTGAAAGGAAATGAAGAGAGGCTTGAAGGAAAGGAAAGCGACACTGATAATGATTTGATGGAAAAGAAATTGCTCGAAAGTGACAACGATAGTGACCGAGAAGCTGAAAATACTAAAGATTGTAAACCAGAGGGTGAACAGAATGTTGAGAAAGTGGAAGAAGAAGAGATGGAAAAACACGAGAGCGATAGAGAAAATGAAGTGAAGACTGGAAATGGTCAGGAAAGATTCCATCCAGAATTAAGTGCTGAACGATCCAAAGAGGAAGAATCAAGATTTACTGCGAAAAAACGAGAAAATGGAAACCATCAAGTAGAACTGCAAGAGGATAAGAATAGATAGATACCTAACAAATTTTGTGTATAGTTAAACAAATCAAAAGTATAACATCAAACTTCTCGCTTCTGTCGGTAAGATTTCTATCCTTTGACCAACCAGGTGGGGGAGAGAGAGAGAGATCAGACTAGATGTGAGAGCGATCTTCCGAAGTTGAACGGCCTTTGATTTTAATGAACTTGTTCGTCTTTGTTTTGATTTGTCCTGTGGTGACTCGTAACGGGAGCATACGGTGCTGTCCATCATCAGGGTGAAAGGGTCCTAGGAAGGTTGAGTCACAATGACTCTTCCCATGTTTCTAGCGTATGTTAATTATTAGGTTAAAAAAAAAAAGAAAAGAAAAGAAAACCACTAGGTTTCAAATAGGTTGAAATTGTACTTAACTGCTTAAGAAAAACGAGACTAGTCAAATCCACAGTGAAACTGTACAAAAAAAATTTAAATGCTCCGTTATCAAACATTAGTGCGTCATGTTGAACTGACACTTAGCTTTTCTAATACCTGTTTATTAAGTATGCTTGAATAACCGTGTGGTAATAAAATGATATTTATTTTTTTTTAACAAAGACTGGCTCTTGATCGCTTCCAGAGAGGACAACCATGTAACCGTTAACACCCATGCACCCTAACATCAGTCTGCTTACTTTCCATACTGTTCCCCATACATTTCCCAAGGTTCTGGCAAGAAGAATTTGTCTTGAAGTCAAGAGCTTCTTTGGTTATATGAACTGAGTAGGGTCTCACTAAAATTTGCTCTTTTTCAAACGCCATGTACGGGTATGCTTTGAGTGTGAAGCACTTGGCATTAAACCAGTGTTATTACAAACTCATTTTGTTTGGAGTAAATCAGACAGAGTTAGGTAGCAAATAAGACGATTGGCTGTGATTTCTAGCCCACCCTAGTAAGGGGTGGGGGTAATCTAATACATACGTATATGTTCTCTTCGCTGTGACGTCCAGGTTAACTACCTATAAGCAGTCACATGAGGAAGATAGTGGAAGCCATAAGAATTCCTTTTCGAGAAAGACCAATCGAGGCAAATTGCGCAGGGCGAAACTTTAACTCTGTTCTTAAGGAGGGTTCTGTAACTTCTAATTTCCATTTATTTTCTCTAAATCCATCCTCGGACCTTCAGAGTCTGCGCTCCGATGCGCTATGAGTCATATTGAGTCTCTAAGAAGAGTTAGGCCAAGGCAAGGTTCATAACAGTTTCTTGCCCAGACCTTCCTCGGCCAAGCAGTTACATTTCAGTCACAAGTTTGCGGTAGGATCTGGGTAGGAGATTAGGTTCTTATCTGTAACACGTCCTAAATACCGTTAAGATCAACAATGTCGAGTCGAAATGGTCTCGTGCATAAATAATAGCTTAAGTAAGACGGTAAATTTCGAGCTCGGCATTGATTTGGAGAAAATATGTTCAATCATCGTCCTATCACCCGCGTGTGACAAGAAAAATTTAATGAGTCCCCAAAGTAATCTAGCCTCAGACCTTCGGATTCATCGGATCAAAGTTCTGGAATAATAAGACAAGCACATCTTTTCTTTCCAGTTCTTTGAAAGTTTCATAAGTATAAGGTCTGTCTTAAAAATGATCAGTAACGTTCCAGTGACACCGTCTTGAATGTCTTGAGCAACAGGTAAAGGCAAAATGGTAACTACTTTGGGTTTCACGTAACGTCTTTATTTGACGTCAAACTATATACAAGCTTTCTTTAGTTAGTTTAGAAGTCATTATCACTGTCATTAAGACTGTTAGCCTGAGAGCCGTCCTCCCGTCCTTCCCCGCGGCCATCTTCCATATCGTCATCATCGAGAAGTTCGTCTTCATCGTCATCAACACCAATGTCGCTCTCTCCTGAAGAAAGTGAACCACTTTCATCCTGAAAAAGACATAAAAAAAATTTATGTACAACTGAGGCTGAGCCGACGTAAAATGAAAGTTGAAGAAGGCTCGATGTGACAACCAATCTATGAAGGAAAGTTCATGGCAAAACAACAACAACGAAAAGATCTCACTTCATCAGAATCAAGCCCTCCTCCCATGGAACCGAAGACTCGACCACCAGCTTCGGCAGCTGAAAAGACAACAAAACAAAAACATTATCCAGACGTAAACTACACATTGTAAGTAAGGGCCTTTCCCCACTAGCGGACAAAACTAGAATTGTCCCGACAACATCAAAGGAAAAATTTTATCATGACTAATTTTTGTTTCGTCTGTTGCATCCGCTTTCAAAATTTCAAAGCCGTCAAATTCCGTCAGCGCCTGATCTATTCCTAGGACCGGTCAGCATAGTTGCCAAAGGATTCCACGTCCAATTTCCAGGATTTACCCTAATTCGTTTTCAACATTTTAGAATCCCCGAGGTTTGAAACGAAAGACATTTTTTCCTTTCTATTAAACTGGTTTTAGTTCAATTACACGCTGGTTGTAGCTTCCACGAGACATGATCAATAAGTTTAGCATGGTTTTGTACACTCAGTCGCTTTTGTTCAGTGTTTACCCAGGAAAAATTTTATCGGCGGCGCGTTTGAAGGCTTGTCTGCTTTTTGGCCAAAATTTGTCAAGTCGTGATAAACCATTCGCACTCTTAAAATGTTGATGGTGACAGCAAATTTGTCTGAACAAAATAGTTTTTCGCGGATGCGGAAAGGCCCAAACTCAATGAAGTAGGTTGGGATAACACTGCGCAGCATGCCATGGTAACCTTTGTCAAAACCAATAAGAAATTAATCTACTCAGCGGGATACGAGGTAATTCTCCTTCTCCCGCGCTTATCAGTTGAAATTTCCAGCGCTTAGAGACATCACGTCACGTGCTTGACATCTGTTGTATGATCACAGGAAGACCATACTATAAAATGTGTTCGTGTTAATAATTGTTGACATGAGACGAACAAAATCTATGAGGGTTATGCATTTGTGATATTTTTCCGTCCTTGTGGGCCATTTGTATAGCGTCTTTCTGCGAAATTACTTTTGGCCGGAGGCCATGAAGGCGAAGAAATACCACAAATGCGTCGTTTAACATTTCATTTAGCTTTATCGAAATGATTCAGACCGAGATGTTAGATAGATATGCAACTTTCAGAGCTTAGTATATAACCCTCATAACTTTTTTTGTCTCAAGTCAACAATAACAATTAATAATTAGCCACAAACACATAGTGGGAAATTTGCGTCACCGATGACAGTCATTCACCTTGTGGTCTGGTAGTCTGTCTTGTATTGTTCGCCTCAACAACAATTTCATCATCGTCGTCACCACCATCCAAATCTCCCAGTTCATCTCCAGCGTCAATCCCTTGGCCATGGTCTGCAGTTTGCATGTTTCTGATTGTTGCTTCAGACTCCTAAAAGAAAGTGAAAATAATTTAATAAACAACACAGAAAAATTAATGAAAGAAAATAAAGAAAAATATCAACCGGGGGATTTTTAGTTGATCTAATACCAACTTCTCTAAGCTAACATTGCAAGAAATGTATGGTAGACAGTAAGGAAAACTACTAATGAGATCTACAGAGTGAATGGATTAATTGGCTACACTAACTTTCAAATCAGCTTCTCTGATTGAAATAAAAATTTGTTTGTTTGACCAATCAAAAGCAAATTAAAATGCTTGCCTCCTCAACTTTACAGCTGAGGAATTACGTGGGCCTAAATCAAACAGTAAATTGAAAAAAAACTACAACAGTTTAAAATCAACAGTAATTATATGCTTTTTTTAACCTCAAATCTGTCTCTCTCAGCCCTGTTAATGTCTTCCAGTAGTTGCTCCATGTAAGCTAAATTGCGATGCTTTTCCATGAAAGTCTGAAATGAAATTTATTTCATTAAAAAACTGTGATCAGATTCCCTTATGAGAAAGAAGAACCTAAAATTTGGCTGGCTCCCAACATCTGGCTTTGTAGCTCATTTGGTTAAGTAGCATTCACTTAGTATCTGAGATGCAGGGTTTATAATCCTGTCCAAGCCCGAATTGTTTTGGGCTTCCTTCTGCTTATTCTTGCAAGGATGATGTCATTGCTCAAAGATTACACTAAAGATGTCAAATCAAACAACACTAAGCTACTGAATGTAGAGGATTCTTTGTGGGTGATTAGCATTGCTTTATCAATTCAGTTTGTTTAGTGAATATTGATCTTAGTTTGGGACAAAAAGGAGTGGTTCTTTTAATGTAACAAACTTGCCAACAATCAAGAGTAACATAATCACCTCATATACTTTTTTGAGTTCCTCTTCAAGTTTTTCATACTCATCCATGTATGCTGGCCTACAGAGATTGGAAAAGAGTAGCTACTTAATATATTAAAAAAAAAAACCTTTTCTTCATACAATATCAGCTTGTCAATTAGAGATTGCTGAACCAATTAAAAGCCTGATAGAATGATTGTACTTCTAACAATGGGACATGAACTTATCATAGAAATATAGCAAAGACTTAAATTAAGTACAAAAAACCTCTCAATGGTTCACCATGGACCCTTCGTTTGTTTTTGTAATTTTGAGTATTTGTCACGGTTTGATTTCATACAAGTTCTTTAAAATTTTCTTTCAGATTTTTGGTTTAAGCACATTATCAGACAATTTACAATACCACATCCACATATTAAATTAAGGACAAGAGAATTTAAAGCCAGAATGATATTGAACCCAAACACAAGAGGTTCAAACATAAAAATAAAAGACAGCAAACAAAACAGCATACAGCTTTTATCATCTAATAATCTGATCCTCACATGGACTGCCCAATTCTTGAATTTTAAAGAGGGAACAACTGTACCTGACAGTTTCTAAACTTCGCAGTCTTTTCTGGTTCCTCTCCAGTTCTTGTTTTTTCTTGTCTATTTTAGCTTCCAGGTTAGCTTCATCCGAAGCAATATTGTCCAACATTTGATTGGTCTTCTTTATGTCATCCTTCAATAAGAATGGAAGGGATTTGGAATGTACCATATTTCCTCCAATAAGTAACCAAATGCTTATTTAAAATTTCAGCTAAAAGGGGGAGGGGTGTTTAGTAGAGGGAGTGCACTTAATCGAGGGGAGAACTTATTATTCTCCTGTAATGATTCCCCGGTAGTTGAACATTAAAATGTTATAAATAAAGTTACTGGTTGCATGAATGGGCTCCAGAAAGCACTCTGTGAATGGCTAAGATGACTCCCTCCTCCCCCCCCCCAAAGCATACCTCCACTCTCTGTGCATGATCCACTCTTCCAAAAAATAAGCCTTCAGTTTTTACAATAAATTTACTCAAATATGCTTTCTCAAATAGAACAAAATTCAATTGAAATAGCAAAGTACAAAACAACTCATATGCTTATTTTTGTTTTCATTATCATCATTCCTAACGATGGGAGAACATACAAACAGGTGCACCTTCTATAAGCTTGAAAATATTTCAAAATTTTCCTAACTTATAAAACATACCACCACACTGGGAGAAATTCTCAGTTAGGCAGGAGTTATACTTAGTGAAACAATGTCTTGGAAAGCTAAAAAATAGAAAAAAGTACCCTACATGATCTCTGATTCATCAGTACCTTGACTGCAGCAACACTCTTCTTGATACCACTTTCCAGCTCATTTAATTCAAGAGGCTTGGCTATAGCATTTGTTCTTAGTTCCTGATATTTAAACAAAGCCAAGTAAGCCAAGGAATTGAAGTTATCATGATGGAGAAATGAAGCTAATGGGACCTTGAATGATATTAAAAGACTTTGCCAGATCACACATTCATTTAGTGATCTGTAAAATTTTTGAGAGTTCTTGAAAGTTAAACTGGGAAGACCCTTAAAATCCTTAAAAGATCTGAATCAACATCCTATCTCTGATCCTAAAAAAATTCACATTTTCACTGTTGAAGATGCCCTTGCAAGAGTAAATTCTGAAGATATACCTGATTTCACCCTCAAAACTAAACTTAATGGTCAGATACACCATAAAAATAATTACTGACTTACCCTTAATTCCACTTCTTTACCAAGCAAATCATAAAGTGCAGCTCCCCTTGATGTTATCTCAGATGCAAGCTGGCGAGATGCCTTTAAATCAGTTATCTGAAAAGAAACATGAATGGTTCTCAAGCCTACCCATGTATTGCATAATCAATGAGACAAAATATAGTTGGCCTTGAACACTATTTAATCTAATGCCCATCATTCGTAAACATAACACATAAGTTTCCAATTTAAAAGTTGCTATGGTTGTTTAAATGATAGGTTGATGAAAATCATCCATTGGATAAATTAATGATATCCATTGGAATTGTATGTCTTGATGAGCTGAATTATGCACACATTTGACAGGTTCTTACGTATGATCTACTGGACAACACACTCATTGATGACATTACCATTTTAATAATTTTTTGCTCCATTATTACATAAAACAAATAGATTCCACAATGCCATGGTTCTATACAATAATAAATCACAACTTGATGACATCAAATATGGTAAGAACATCAGTGAGACACTTGGCTGCATCTTGACTGCTACTTTTCTGATTTTAACTAAATTTTATCATCATCTATGATCTAGCACTGAACAGACCTGCAGGAACATGGAAGCTTTGTGTTAAGGAGTTAAAAAAATGTATCGTGCCATCATTCCAACAGATAGCAATTTTCCTGCCCAAAATACTTTTCATCTTTAACACTTGAGTCTGTTAAACTCCAAACTCTGGTTACTTACTCTTGATGATATATCAAATGTCAAGGAATTGACATTGGACTCTTCAGCAGCCTAAAAACAAGAAATAAAATGTTATAGTTTTTTTTATAACATCTTCAACTACTGTTTTCTACTAGGAAAGGGCTACATGTTTACACTGTATTAACTTAAAGACGGCATTGTCACTGTTTACTCCTGAAAGAAAAGTGGGAAATGGGAACAAACATAAGCACATTTCAACAATGCTCAAACCTCACTAACCTCATTAAACCTGGATTTATTTGAAGCAAAAACATAAAAGAGAGTTAAGTAAATAACTTTTACGGCTACCTCATTTCCAGCATTAGTCTTCATAGCACTGTACAGGACAGATGTAACTTTGAGTAATTCCTTCACAGCATATCCATCTGCACCATATAGCTTCTTGGTGTTTAGCTTAATATGGGCTTTGGTTGCCTAATATTGTATGAGAAAGAGATCAGGTGACTATTGTGAGCAGTGGATAAAGGGGGTAAATTTCTAAAGAAACTGTGGTGCTGCATTGGTGGGAAAATATAACAAGGTAACTTAGCGTTATCAACAAGTTGATAACGTAAATTAGTCACCATAAAGAGTTTTAAAAAAGCTGAAGTTTTGAGTGTAAGCCCTTTATCAGAGCAAATGGCTCTGAGGAAGGGCTGACACTTGAAACATCTGCTTTTAAATTCTTTGAGGTGGCTAATTTACTTTATCAACTCATTGATAATACTTAAGTACCCTATTTTGAGCAGTGCTTGAAAAGGTTAGCACCTCACCTCTGTTAATTCTTGGGAAACTTCAAAATCAATCTTAACATCTCAGAGGTGTTTATCATTTTAAGTGAAATTCCCCATTTCTTGAGGGGTTCATACACTATCTTTCTTATTTCTATCTTCAATTTTATTAGTAATGATTATAACAGTTATGAGTACAGTGTTAGGAGTATTTATTATGTCTGCACTTCAGCACTAGTTTTAGATTCTTCTTAGTCAACAAACAGAGTAATAATTACATGGTATACACAGTAGAGGGCAGAAAAGGAGGAGTCCTGATCATAATTCTCATAGCAATTTTAGAAAAATTTGCACATCACATGTGCTTTAAAGTATATTTTGCTTATCATTAAGCCAAAAGGGAACTCTTAAAATCTCACCTTACCTTGGATTTCTGTAAAATTCGTGCATCACATATAGACCCCTCTACCACTCTCACAGTACTTCATAAAACTGATTGGCATAAAAATTTATAAAACTTTCTGGAGACTGATGATGTCAAACATACCATAAATTGAGCCACTGATTTAATGAACAGCACTCTGTCCTGTTCAGTATCAACATCCATGGGTAATTCCACATTGGGGTCATACCTATATATAACATGCCAGATAAATGTTTAGCCCATAATCATATCATTACACTATGTGACATTCTTTGGCATTAGATGAGTAACTTAATATTTACTCCCCCACTCCCGACTGCCGGCAGTAGACCACTGCCAGCAGTCGTTTGTATGGTGCAGGCAGTGGTCCACTACAGGCACCATACAAAGGACTTATTCACAACATTAACATTACAAACAAACCAAACAGAAAGACCTAACTTCACTAACGGATTGAGACCAACCAATTACTACCAATCTATGCTACTTGAGTCTTACAGCCAATAACATCACAGCAAAACTGACCAATCAATTTATGCAAACTGGACTAAGCACATTCAACTGACAGCAACTATTTCCTTGACTCTGATGATGACTTCCAGTCAGGTTGTCGAAACGTCAGTCACCACTACCGAAAACAGTCCTTCTCATGACTACACTTACTGGACAATCAAACCACACCATTACACATAACAATCATAATAGACAAACAGTATTTATCTTTTAGAGCAAATATTTAGGGCTATATGTACTACACTCTTGAAAGGTAACAAATCTAAGAGCTTCTTCGTTTATTTCATGTAGAAATCTATAAAAACTCAGTTGGGGAAAAATTTCCATACGACCCCAAAACAAAGTTGTAGTGCCGAAGGCAATCTACTGTTTTCGCCAGTATTTTCGTTATCCAAAGACTAATTAAGTAAGGATCTCGGCAGAAATGTTGCCAAAATTCATTTTACACAACAGTTAAACCTTCACGTTTCATCTTTGTCCGATTAAGTGGCGTTGAATTAATTATAATCACCTATAAACCTGAAATCTTACAGGTTCAATTTATTTTCGCTTGGTTGGCCACCTTCTCTCGACGTTTAACTGTTTTTTGTAGGGTAATTAAAAAAATAGTTACTTGACCTCTTGACAAGCCACATCAAGACTTCAGCAACCAAAGCAAAGTTTGGAGAACGAAAGTTCTCCATGGATATCAGCCGAGGGTAACCCAAGGCACGCATCATTTCAGTGAAATCTGCGAAAACACAACCATTATTTTCATTTAGATCATACAAGAACAGGCAAAATTTAAATGCAGGTGAGAAGTATAACCTCAAAACTTTCAAAAAACAATAAATACTACCGATTTTCACTTACTTCTCAAGTCTCTATACGACATTTTTGTATTCGTAACTTCTATTTTTCTTGATTGACCCAGTCGCGCATGCTTTCTGGGACACCGCTGGAATACTTAAGGACTATTTGTTTACATGGTCCCTATGGAAACAGGATGAAAAAAGTAAAATAAAGATGGCGGCAAGTCCTGGAGGTGACGAAGATTCGGTGTTCGATGCAGGAAGGCTGTCTTTATTTGATCTCATTCTAGAGCGAACAAGGGCTCAAAACAAGGTAAATAGCTTAAAATGTATACGATGTCAATTTTTCTCTTGGAATTCTGAGGCAAACAATTTGTTCATTTTAGATCGATTTGAACCCTCAATGTAATATTTTCCTTCCAATTCATGCAGGTAATAGGAAAAGCGAGCTAACTTATTTCCCAAATTTATTTTTAGAAACAACTTGTTCACCGACTAGTTTATGTGTCTAAAATCCGCCAGGATGTTAGTGACAGGAAAGAAATTGGAGGTGGTTATTTAGTTTTAAAGTAATATTTTAGTTTACTTATCTTATCATTGTTAATTAACAACAAACTAATCAGGTCTTATTGGAAAGTTTGCCACACCAAAGCAACAAAATTTAAAGCCCCACTTAAGCAAGAAATATTAATTAGTTTTCTCGATTAAGCTTGACTCGCATGGAATTAGCTGGTAGATGTTTGTCAACTGAATGTTTACAGTCCTTCTTTTAATTGATTTATGGCAATCAAGCAGAAAGAGCATTGGATGACTATTTAAACGGATAATAAAATTCAAAGCCTTTTTCTTTAAAAAAAAAAAAAAACAGGAAGAAAATCACTCATTTGACAATAGTTTATTTCTTCTTAGATGTTTTTGTTTCATTTTCTAGTTTGTGCATCAAAAATAATCATATTAATAGAGAACAAAGGAAAAAAGAACAAAACAGTTTAAAAGAAGCAAATTTTCAAGAAATTATAGTAAAAAATGTACACACTCTCTTAACTTACAGTTCAGGATATTGATGATTGCTAATTATTTTAATGAATGAATATCTCTGATACTTTTATGTTTTACATTGAATTGGTTACAACTTTGTATGATGCATAGATATACTTTGTGTTGTGATAAGGGAAACAGTTGTCAATCAGATGATGGAACCCTAATGGGAAAAAAAATGCTATTTGATATAACTTCTTCATGCCTTATTTGTAAACTCCTCGCCTTGAAATCTTTATTTTATTCTCTTATCATTTTAAGCTCACTATGAAAGAGTTTTTAAGGAACTTCAAACACAAGTGCATGGAGAGGCAGTGACAGGACTGCTTTTGATATATCCTGTTCATATCATTCATGTTGTAGAGGTGAGAGCATTTGTCAAATTCCTTGAATTCAAAGGAGATAATGTTGTATTTCAACTTATATAGATAAAAAATTGATACACTAAATGTTATATTTGCATGTATGATAGATAAAGTTTCTCCTTTATTTTTACTTTGGAATGAACTAGAGTCCAAAGGGGTGTTTCTATATAAATTTTGCCCTGAAAATGGATATGTTAATAATGTTAAGTCAGTTGAATGAAAATCAATGTGGCAAAGGGGCTCACTGGTATTATGACATTGCTCTCTTAAACACCTCTGTCTTTTGGGTGCAATGACTTGTTAAGTGTTTGGTATGTATTCTATGTTAATAAATAATTATTTTTATTTCATATAGTTCTAGTTACTGGTACCTTAAACTGGTTTGAAAAATTTAAACAAGGAAAAAAAATTGATTTGCAGACTTCCTATAACATGCTCCTGAAGGTTATCAAAGAGTTAGAGGAGGATGAACAAAGTGCCAGGTACAGTTGAAAAAAATCTGACCTCTGCATTAACACTTGAGTCACAAAATAGATCATTAACAACAAAACAAAATATACTCTGTAAATTAACATATTAAACTGGTGAAAATATTTGCTTACAGACAGATTTTGAAAGAGAAGTGACTGAGAAAATTTCTGCAGTTGCATGTGTGCAAGGAAAGGACAGAAGTCCTTCTTTTTCAGTTTCCAGTAGGCAATTTTACAGTTGTGTACTAAAGTTACCAAGCCTTTGAGTGAAGGCAACCTTGTTGTGATAGAGACCAGTATCTTGTTTGTATGATAAAAAAAAATTTACATTTGAAAAGCAGCAACATTTGTATTATAACAAGGTCACCGTTAGCCTCACTCCTGTTGAAAGGCTTGGCAACCAAGCAACCAACTGTCCAATAGACTATTCATTCAGTGAAAATCATGTTATTGGGTTATTTGCAGTGGTATGCTGTTGAATACAAAACTACTTGTGTGTACTGGTGATGTATCCTTTTACATCATATAATTACAGAATTAGACAGCATTCAGTTTGAAAACTTTTGGCAAATTTTATTTTGAAGATTGGTTAGTTTTTTTGTTTTTACTTAGAAATAACAGAGAGAGAAATGTCTCAATCAAAAGGTTGCTACATAGTAGACAATTTGTAAGAATAAAAATAAAAAGTGGCAATTAGTCACTTACTGACTTTTCACTAAATTGAAGGTCACTGAAATTAATTTTTATGGTCACTATCATGTAGGGTTCTTCTTGCAGGAACTCAAATTATTTCAGCCATTCTTAACAGCTGCAAAATTATCATGAAAGGCAATTTAGAGCTGTGTGGTTATCAAGTCTATGGCTAACTGTCATAAAAAGGGTTGAAAGATTTTGGCAAATGATAAATATGGGGTGTTAATTTGTAAATGTAAAACTGTGTGAGAACTCAGTACTTATACAAACAGTAAATAGGAAATGGAGGTTCTTATATGGTGGGCAGTTAGGTAAAGTAACCTTAACCCATCAAAGCTCAACAATCGTCTCTTTGGACAATGGAGTTTTAGAACTCTCAATCTTGCTGTGTCAAGGATGCAGGAATTCACCACTAATGAACCTATCGATGTTGTGGTTAGTTATAGAAATAATTTTCATTAAAAATACCTGGCTGGTAGTATAAGCTGACTTCATGCCAAGTGTTACCTTCAACTTATGGAAGTTATCTGTCCATGAATCTATAGAAGGTTCTCCCTTATCAGCAGTATGATATTGTGTGACAATTGTACATCTAGAGATAATGGCCATCAGTGGATGCGGGTGTGACGATATGTTAAGTGTCTGGATCAGCCAATCAACATTTAGTTTGACCATGTGCTCGAGTTGTTGTTGTCCGTTGGACAATATGGCCGTGTAGCATTGCTTTGTTCCAGATTAAAGTTCCATTGAGTTTACTGTTTATCAAGCAACGAGTCCTGATTTATACAGTGGGTAACCATTGATGGGCAGAAATATTCAACATATTTAGTAGTTCATCATTTATAGAAGGTACCTGTAGAATTGGAAGTTACCTTTAGGCAGATGGTACTCAATGATGGGTGTTCATAAATGCACAGGACAAAAAGTACCAATTCATAGGTATCCATCAATGAGAGGTACCTGCAGTCAGATTAATGAAGATACCTGTGAAGTTTATTTATGACATAAATTACAGCAGCTCAGGTCTCATTTGCCTTTTAACCTTTTTATCTTTTCAGGTCACAGAGGCATTAACACTTATCATTAAGCTAGCAGAATATTTGGCTAAACTACCAAAGGTTGGAATATTTAATATAGAGCATCATCAATAGTCCTTCTAGAAGCTACATGCAGAAAGAAAGGAAATTACTATCAATGCTACCATATACTTCTCAAGGAATTTGTCCACTGAATTTTGAATCCCCTAAAAGAAGTCAGAACCTATGATCTGTGATCTGCACACTCCATGACCCCTGTACTAGAAGAAAGAAAGTGCATGACTAAAGTGCAAAAAGACCTTTGGAGTTCTATTCTGCCACATATTGATAGGACAGTCTGGCTTTATTTTTCTGCAAGCCTCCTCCCATTTCAAAATTTAAATTTTGGTTTTTGTTTAAGTACCTTATTATGGTGTGGGGAAAAGGGATGATTCATTTACAGCAGTGACTTCTTTCACTGATTGACTAGATTCATTTGTACCAAAACAATCCCTGATATACAGCTTATAATGCAGACTAGAGTTTTTTATTGTTTAAGGCACAGGATAGGGGAAAGGGAATGAGCACCAGGGATAGAAAAGTTATATTGAACACAGATGAACATGATAATTTTTCTGTTCCCTTTGCACCCACTTGATATGCATTATGCAGGATTGTATGAGAGTAGATGAATTTTTAGGAGAAAGAATTTTTCAATCGTGAAGATCTAAGTAATATCAAACAAAAATAACAATCAGTTGGCAAATTTTTTAAGAAAATGTACAGTGAATAAGGCTTGTGTGTAAATTTGTCCAAAAAATATGTACCCATGCAGACTTTATGGACTTGATAGGAGAGAAACTTGTTTAAAAGTGTTGTTTGCAGTCATGTTGGCACATTCTGACATCTGTCATGATGGTGGTTGGATGTTGACATCCTTCCCGTAGACTACAAGGATATTTCTGAATTGTATTATTTCATTCATTTGTTTGTGCAAGCTACTGACACCCGTTTTAACTGTGCACTTTTCAAGTTTATCTTAGTTCACTTTATAACTTACTATACAGTAAATTATTTCCAGTGGTTTTTGTTGACTGTCAGCTGAGTCATCACTTGTTGTTTCACTTGTAGATCAGCTTAACTAATACCATGGACCAGTTACCTGAAAAAGTACCAGATCTGTTAGTAAGACAAGGTAATTAAACGGGTGCCAAATGTGGGTGTCTGTAAGTTTTGAGCTATAAAACTTGGACATAGGGTTCCTAAATGTCATCCCTGATACCTGACGATCATCAGTTTGCAGCCCATGAATAGTCTGTCACATCTCGTTCTATTTTGAAAGAAGTTAGCGAGAGACTTACTTATAACTTGCAACAAACTTTTTTTGTAAAGTAGTCTCTCTTATCTAAGGCAAGAACACACAGAAAACAGAAGATTTCTGGTAACATATCAGTGGTTTTAGTATTATTTTCTTAAGGATCTGCTTCCTTTGTCAGATCTGATTGAGTACACTTTGGGCTCACAAGACCTCAACACACCTTCACAGTACCTGAAAAGATATACAACACCAGTTGACATCACATTGGAGAGTGGTAAGGCAACATGAGCTGAGTTATTGCGTTTATCTTGTTTGAAACTATCAAACGAAATGGGAAAAATTTAGTTGCCTGAGATGTATGCGCCCATGTAATGAAGTCTTTAGGTTAATGCTCCTCATCCGCTTGAGATGGGATGAACCAGTTGAACGGCCTGTTCCGGGCGTTCAGCGGCTAAGTGAAGAAAGGTGGTTCGAGTCATGTCAAACCTCCCTCAATTTTACACCCAACCGCTGTTATCGCTTCATTTACTACTACGCTTCGTTTACTATTACGCTTGAACGTTTTACAAATCGAACACCTGGAACAGGCTACCAAATTGGACTTTCGTCAGAGATCTGTGATTTCAGCTGCTAGTTGGACAAAAAAAATGAGGCTTACGAAATTGTTGAACTCGTTCTCTCGTAGTTGTATATTGTGGGGACATGCCCATATCTTGAAAATTGCCCCAGAATGTCAGAGTTGCCCTCGAAACTTTGTTTCTTGGTTGTTTGTTATACGTTGTGGCTGATTCTCAGTAACGTCGGAGTCGTTATACTGGAAACGTGAAAGAGCTACACAATTACTAGAAAATCAAAACGGCGGAATCAGTTGTAGAGTACCACTGTCGCTTGTCAGACTCCATCGCTTGTGATGTATGAAACTTTATCATTAAGGGCCTGTTTACCTGGAGGTGGGGGAGCCCAGGTAGGTGAGGTAACCTGCCTAGGTGGGGTAACCCGCCTGTCCATATAGTTTCTTACTTTATTTTGATCACGTTTACATGATAGGTGGGGTGACCCACCTAGGCGGGTTGCTCGGTCTGCTAGGTAGGGTAACCCTGTCAGCCGGGGTGAAAATTTGCCATGTAAATGTGTCAAGGTGGGGTAACCCGCCTAGCCGGGGTCGCGTTCATAGCAAAAAGCTCAAAGGCGAAATATGTATGTTTTAAAACTTTGCACATTTCCTAGCCGTCTCATGGCAGAAATCACTAGAAACCGCAACGGACACACAAGGAGTGTAAAATGTTCACATTTCGGAATATTTAGCGTTATAAATCGACCATATTTGGTTTCCCAAACTATTCCGTATAACGCATTAAGTCAACGGTTCCTCGCGAAACACGACGCGTGACGCTTTCATGAATAAATACATATGTGTTCGAGAATTAATCTTTCGTCTTTTTCGAGATATGAGCTTGGGACGCCTCCGCTCAAACTCCTTAATTGCAAGTGCAACAACCACCTCAAGAAACCTTACCTTAGTGCCTCGGGGTTGTAAGATTGCATGTAAACGCGTTTTTCGACCACGGCTAGGTGGGTTACCTCACCTACATGGGGTACCTCACCTACATGGGGTACCCCACCTCCATGTAAACAGGCCCTAAAAGTCGTATCCATCGAATGGCGTGAGAGCTCGTCAACTTGTTGACGAAGGGCTCACGCTTGAAACGTTAGCTTTAGAAACTCTGTACGGTGGCTAATTTATATTATCAACTCATTTGATGAAACCAATTTAACTTGTAATAGCCTTAGCCTCATCGACGTACGACCACTGTTTCTGTAGAACTTACTCTCGATTGTTCTTTGACAGGTTGGGTATTACTGCTTCCGCTTGCAAATCTGAAAATTTAGTTTCACTAGATCGGAGTCAAAGGAAGAAGATAGGAACGCTCTTATTCTTCTGACTCCTATGCCGTCTAGCTTATGGCCCCACTTTTAAACTGTTCTGATTTTATGTTTTTACTTGGTCGGAAGCGCTCCTACGACTTCCTCTACAGCTCCGACTCCGCTGTTGGTAAAACTACTCTAAATCACATTACTTTTTACATAACATCTGGTTTAATTTTTTTTCTTCAACAGAACTGGCCTGGCCCATGCAGACTAGATTGTTCCCTCTAAGTTAGAAATGCACATAAAGCATTTGTTCGTCAATGCACCATTGTAAATTGTCACATGTAAATAAATCTTGATGCTTGATAAACAGTTTATGGTGCTGTACTGTGAAATCACGACTGTCACTTACTGTCAGCTAACAACATGGTTTCCGTTGAGTGAAGATTTTAAAAAACTGCCCTGCAATGGTCGAGTTTTAATTCCTGGGGAACAATTGATCTAAAGAGAATTGGCCTTAAGTGTGTGATTTGACGACGCGACCTATGGCCTTTCTTAATAAACAACCTTGGTCTGGGAAATTTCGCAATAGATTTTCCCAAATCTTCAGAATTTTAACAAATTAAATATAGCCATTTCATAACTATGCCGTTAAGTTCTCAGTTGATTAAACTTCAAAGAAGCCTTATTTTAAAAAAGAAAACTCTGAAATCATGGGAAAATTTATTAAGGAACCTGTTTAACGAGATTTCCCCATAACATTAGCATGATAATAGCGATTGTTATGCCATACCCATTATTTTAAAGTTCAACTCTTTGGTCAATTCATGGGTGAAATTAGATTAACTGTGAAGAGGAAAGTTGGTTTTTGGGTCCTTTGCCAATATATTCAGTAGGCGTTTTGGAGTCTCGTGCCACCTTCAGAGCGCGTCCGCTTGATACAGATTTCTCTGTTTCAAAATTCGGATTCACGAGTAACCGTAAAATGAAAACATTCCCCTATGATCCTTTTTAATGTCTGATGTTTATCACAATTCCATATGCAGATTGTTTGTGAAGTGGATTCGCTGGAATGTATGATGGTAAACATGTAGTCCCTCTCCTTTTAAGTATTCCGCTTGACTCTGATCGTAGTCTGATGACGACTATAGCTCAGGTTGTCGAAACGTCAGTCGCCACTGAGGACGCTCACCCGTTCGATCAGACTTCAAGATCAAATGCAACCCCCGGGTTCAAACCAAGTACTGTTTAGGTTTCCTGTTTATCTTCGTGTTCTCTACTACAGTTTCTAACCAAGCCTATAGATCGTTGAATGATTTACAGTTAAGTGTTTCAAGGGGAATGATAATTATTTTTCTTCAGCTGAGCTGAGTGTTCAACTGAACTTGAATGATCGTTGCTTCCGAAATCAAAGGCTGTAATACATTTTGAGACAAAATTTTCTCTTCCATCTCTCCCGTACGTTCAAGTATTTTCCCTTTCTTGTCCTCCAAGATAATCTGTACCTCGCTTTTTTTTGTATGTGACTTGCAGCTTGATAACTGAATATTTACTAAAGGTATTCAACGAAGGTCCTTACTATTACATACTGTCAGAGTAAAAATTTTTCCTTCTTTGTTAACTTAGAATTTAGAATCTGGACATACCTTCAATTTTGAGTCTTCACCTCTTTGGTTTTCTATGAGGGAGTTCGCTTTTTTATACCATACACATGTGGGATGTAAACCCAAGTTAGATAACTCGACTCAAATGAGTAATAAAATTATATATACGTCACAGTAGACAAGTGTTTAGCGCGCGCTTCTTCATCGTTCCCAGGCTCTCTCGATTAACTACCTATAACTTCTACAGATTTTAATCACTAGCTTTCTTCCAACATGATCTCCAGACCAAAGTTATGATAATCATCACTTCCTAACTGGCACCAAAGTAATGAATATCATAACTTCACGGCATGCGCACGTAAAGATCTATATTCCAGGAGCAGCCGGCTCGGTGGCATGAGTTAATTATTCAAGATCAGTGGGCTAATTTAACTTTTGTCTTGTCTCTTTTCGAGTCAGTGAATCAAAGAATATAAAGGACACGGTGGAGGGGAGAAGTAGTTGTAATATTGGACTGGTGCAACAAAGCTTTGTGAGCCAAAGAGGTTACCTTTAATCAAGATGTTCAGGGAGTATCACAAAACTGTTTGGTGAGAGCCGTATGCTTCGAACGCAATCCACGTGCTTCAACTGGTACCGTTCAGATTATTTTTTGTGGGGTAGCATAGGTACGGGCTATGTTCACATGGAATGTCTTTGCAATTATAAGTTGTCTTACTTTCGCTCTTAGCTCAAGAGAAAAGGATTTCTGCTCAAGTTCTTTTATCTGCGTGCATGGGGGATACCGTAGTGGGACACATCTGACAACTGCAGCTTTATCTAAGCGTCTTCTACACATGACATTTTCAGGAACAGCAAAAGTGGCTTCCTGTAATTTTTTAAAAATCTTTGACCGTGGCTCTTCCCAGCTTTCAGTCAAGAGTGTTTGCCTTTCTGCCCAATTTTGTCTCTTTGGTGGGTCACTTTAGTCTTGCAACCTCTCTAAAAGTTGCTGTACCTCCAACAATATTTCTTTTATTTCTCCTTCACAAGAATGACAAAAAGATTTCCATGTTTTATTAACAGCTCATTTAATACAATCAGCACAAACAACGATCGTGACAACAAAATCACAGAAACCGTAAATCATATTCTTGCACTTTGAAGTAAAACAAGCTTTATGCCAAAATCGATGGCTATCCAGGTTCAAGGAAATTTCTGATTAGTTCATCAGGTTTTTAACACCAACAGCACAAAAATTCAAACGCATGCCAAAGGGTGAATTCTTTCCCTTCAGCAAGAAGCTCGGATTTCGTTTTCGGTTTTTTTCATGAACAATTAGACGAAAACGAGACTACAGCTTACAAAGGGTCGAGGAAAAGACTGATTCTAAACTAGTGAAATAAGAGTTACGGTAGCGAATGAAGTAAAGACTTCACAAAATAATCCATCACAACTGAACGAACAGTTATCATCTTCCTCCGCCATCTTGGATGCTGTCGGCCTTTAGAACTGAGGCCTTCTCTTTCTTTAATGAGCGTCAAGTGCGCTTGCTATGAAGTTATGATATTCATTACTTTGGTGCCAATTAAGAAGTGACTATTATCATAACTTCGGTCTCGAGGTCATGTTGCTTCTTTCGGTCCCTTCCGTTGGAGTGAAAATTGTGTCCTGTCTCTATTTTCCAACAAATTCACTTAAAATTGCCTATCTACTGCTGAAACGTGTCACGATAAATCTGACCTGCGGGTTTCATCATTTGGATTGACTGAGTTCTGTAGCCAAACGCGTGTGTAGTCGGGTTGCAAAGTTTTCAAAATAGCGGCGTCTCTTAAATAAAACTTTTGGCGAGGTTTTGAAAATTAAGCAGCCAATTATGGCTAAACATGATGTTTTTTTATCGGTTTTTTTAATACTCCTGGTCTGTGAAACCTGTACCGCTTACTACAGGGTATTTTTTAACATCAGCTCTGCTGATAGCGTAAATTGACCACCGTAAAGAGTTTCACGCTTAATACAGGTTCGACTGTACCATAAATTTAAAAAAAAAAACACCGCCGATGTAAATTCTCGTTGTTATAAGGAAGGCTGCTTAATGATTGAATTATACATAAATATATAATTGTAGGAAATTGTAGCAAATGCTGTTGCAAAGTGCTGGAATCATGTGTGTTTCATTTTAGTCATTTTGAACTGTACTATATATATATATATATATATACATAAATTAAAGATGAAGTATTCGTTGTACAAGTCCCTGCTTGAACAATCTTCTTGCTGTAAATCATGGTTGAAGAACAGTCCTTTGAACCTTGCAAACACTACATCTCTTTCACAGGTTATTGTTTCTCGGCAATAATTCCTCACTGCATCACTGTGCCCTCACTTTTGTTAGTAGACTTTTTACAATTCTCCCCAATCTTTCCGGTGGTTTAGTTAGTGGTTTTGACGAAATATCTCATGGAGGATGAGATTACAATGTGAATTAGTCTAAAACTAATGTTTCGAGCGTCAGCTTTTCGTCAGAGTGAATGGTTCTTATTCGCTCTGACGAAGGCCTAACGCCTGAAACGTCAGCTCAAGAAACTCTTTACGGTGGCCAATTTACATTATCGACTAAGGCGATAAAACCAAATGAACTAATTACTGCTCCGATCGATGCAGCATCACAGTTCCTTTGAAAGTTACCGTATTCATTCGATTAAACGCCGTGGCGTTTATTATATTTTTTGTGATTCTAGTGCAGCGTTATTTCGATGGCGGCGTTTAATTAAAATCCAGTTTATTTCTTGTAAACAATTGTATGGTAAATCGGCGTTTAATCGAATAAATACGGTACCTCTTTGCATTTGAGGATGAGGTTACCCGAAAATCTGGAAAGGAGTAGCAAAAAATGAGCCCACATACACAGCCTTGTATCAGCGGGATCACCCTTCTCAACATACGGGACATTGCACTCTACTTCATCCTTTTCCATCGTTTTGGTGAGTGAGATTCATTTCGCTGAAAATTTGTTGAAAATATCTTGTGGCATCAAAGAGCATCGTTAGCTTTCGTTTAATCAAAATTGATCGTAAACCAAGTTTAACTATCAATCCCTCCTCTTATCTTCTCATTTTAAAAAAGTGTCATATTAAAAGCCAGTAATCCCTTGTTTTGCTTGCTCATGTCGTTCGTCTACAACGAAACTGAAATCTGTAATATTTTACTTTGTCGTTGTCTTAGGATGTAATTATCTCTTCTTAACAGTGATACTTCAAATTTATTTTTAAAGTGACCGAACTCATTTTTATTCGCGGTGCTATTCAATGGCTTGTGTCCTAGTCATCCGAATCATTGTGACTTAGCAAAATCATAGTTGTAACCTTATAAATCGTAAAGTAATCTTGCATCATTTTCTCTTATACACCTACCAGAGCAGTCAAAATGGGACGGAGGCCGGCCCGTTGGTAAGTTTGCGTTTGCATTTTAAGTTTTTGTGTGTAATGTTGAGACCTACTTGTGATCTCCATGACTTGACATACCTTTGCTTGTGCGAATGATCGAGCTACTATTAATAAGAAGACTGTTGCATTGGTTTGAGTAGACTTATGAGAAAACGTGAAATTTGAAGTGGTAATACAGAACTCTGAAGTATCTTAGCTTTTTAGACCTGTGAGCTGCGAGTTTCTTATCAATAGACGTTATCTTCTCAAGTCTTGTCATCATAATTATTCTAACAAGCGGTTAAAAAAAGAAAATTTTTATGTATGCTACTATATTACAACTCAAAATGTGTTTATTACACTAGCTGATTCACATTACTACTGCTAGTGCCAAGTTATATTCCTGTTTTATGAGCTTCCCATTTCTTAATGATAATTTTCCCTATTTTAGTTACCGCTACTGCAAGAACAAACCATATCCTAAGTCACGCTTTTGCCGTGGTGTCCCAGGTAAGAAGTCTCTTCCATGTTTTGCTGAATATAATTCAACTTTAAAACGCCCTAGTCTATGGGCATCCCAGTGAGCAGTGCTTTGAATTCTGTCAACTAATTGGGAAAACATTTTTTTGCCTCAAACAAAACACTTGCAAAGAACTCTGAAGACCCATTGATATTCCAACAACATAGCCCAAGTAAAACTTGAATAAAGGGGGTAAGTTTCTTAAGAAACTTTGGTGCTGGGTCAGTGGGGGTGGGAAAGGGTATTACAAAATAAAATGGTTTTATAAACTGAGTTGATATTGTAAATTGGTCACCGTAGATAATTTCTTGAGATGATGTTTCAAGCATGAGCCTTTCATTAGCTTTATGGTGGCCAGTTTACATTTTCAATTCAGTTGATAAAACCAAAGTATTTAGATAAAACTTAGTTGAATATATTTTTCATTCATGTCTTTTTGTCTTCACAATTGTGGAAAACCATTCTTTCATTCAAGTGACTGCTCATAAATTTTTTTGTAAATCATTTTTCATGTAGATGCCAAGATTAGAATTTATGACTTGGGTCGCAAAAAAGCCCGTGTAGATGAGCTTCCATTGTGTATCCACATGGTGTCAGATGAGTATGAACAACTGTCTAGTGAAGCCCTGGAAGCAGCACGTATCTGCTGTAACAAATACATGGTGAAGAACTGTGGAAAGGATTCTTTTCATTTGCGCATGAGGCTGCATCCATTCCATGTTATCAGGATCAATAAGATGTTGTCGTGTGCTGGAGCTGATAGGTGAGTCTGATTACTTTTAAGATGTGTGTCTGTTGGCAGCAAGAAAATGAAATGATATATTTTTCTTGATTTCATGCTGGCCCCTGAACAAAACTTACTTAAATAGTGGCAGTACCTACCAAGCCAAATTTTAAATTAAAGCCCTTGGCATGGAAATGCAGGTTGTGCTGTTGTTTGGTTTTGGGTGTAGAAATTTGGATGCAAGTTTCTTAAGTATCCTTAGTTCCCATTTTTTCTGTTTGACTTTTCATTCATTCTGAGGCATGTTTCTCAAGTTGCATTATAACAGACCTTCAAACTCTTTCAGAGACCATTATGACAGTTGGTTAAAACTTAGGAAATATCAGTACTTTGATGGGGCTTTCAAGTCAAATAATTTTTTTATGCCTTGAACAATTAAAAGCGAAAAATGTTTTCATGTGCAAGTTTTCAAGTTGCTCAGCAAGTGACTGTGATAAATCTCGTTTATCGATGGTTCCTTTTCCAACCAGCTTAAGCAAACAAAAATTTTAGTGGAGGTCATTGTATATTGATCTAGTCTTAATTTCTGACCTAACTGATTTGTAATGTTAGAAACTTGAGGAGGAGAGAAATGCAGTAAGTTTTTCATGGGAATAATTGAGATAGTGGCCTTCTAATTCAAAATATCAAAACCTAATTTTTTTGTTTCATTAGCAACCAGCTGTAATCATTTGTTTTAAGTAGTTGTAACAAACATAGCTTCAGTTACAAGTCTTGGTGTGGTTCTTTTTCTAGGCTCCAGACAGGTATGCGTGGTGCCTTTGGGAAGCCTCAAGGCACTGTGGCACGTGTCAACATTGGCCAAGTCATCATGTCTTTGAGAACAAAGGATGGTAACAAGGCAGCTGCCATTGAAGCCTTAAGAAGAGCCAAGTTCAAGTTTCCAGGAAGGCAAAAGGTAAAATAATTTTTAGGCATCTCCACATTTAGCAGGCCCTCTTGGCTAGGAAATGACAGGTTATGAGAAGATTACAATTCTCCTTTGACAAGCTCTGTATTCAAGCAATTACCAGCCACATTTCCAATACAAGCATTTAATGGTACCATGAATTATGTTCAGTTAAAATGCACTTTGCAGTGTTGAAAAAAAATTAATCTTGAAGCCTAAGAGCCTTGAAGATGCAGAAAAACCAACATCATGTAGGGATGGCTTAACTCAAATGGCTCTTCTATGTTGAGTTGAAAAAACTGTTGATATCAAATGAATATGAAAGCAATCCTTGCAGTTATGAACACTACTTAAGTAGTAGTTAAAATATGGCCTTAAAAAAAATCAGGCTACTAGGGGATTGAACCCATGACCTCTGCAATACTGGTGCAGGTCATGGGTTCAAATCCTGTACAAGCCCAAATTTGTTTGGGGGCCTAATTTTCACCACTACTTAAGTAGTATTCATAGCTGTGAGGATCACTTCCATATTTGTTTCTTCAACTCCAGTTCACATATATGATTTTCACATATTTACAGTCATCTGTTGATATCAGTTTAAAAGTGCTATGACAGTTGAAAGTCATATCTTATTCTTACTTTGTTTGGATTAGGCTTGTAAATAATAACTTTTCACTCAAGTGTTAACATTTGCTAAATCTTAAATGAAGCAAAAATGTTATCAAAACTGTGCCATCTTCTAAAATTGTCCTAGAGCAATCTAAAAGCAATGTCTGGGTGTTGAAAGTTGACAGAAATTGAGCACTTGATCAAGGTGGCTCTCTGAAGAGCTCTAATATTGTTATCAAAGTTAAATAAACTCTAAACATAGACAATTTTTTTTCCTATATAGATATATGTGTCTAAGAAGTGGGGATTCACCAAGTTTGATCGCGAAGTTTATGAGGAGTGGCGTGCTTCTGGCAAGCTTTTACCAGATGGAGTAACTGCAAAGTACATGGCAGATCACGGTCCCCTTGCTGCCTGGAAGAAACAGCATGCAGCCTAACTTGTGCAAACATGTGAATAACAGAAATTAAAACTCCATGTTAATTATACAGCAGTTGTATTTTGCTCTGATTTAAATATCAGGAAGCATACTAGCTTGATCGTCAGGGGTGGGCAGGTAGGCTTTCAGTGGGTTTATTCTGTTTGGTTACAGGCTGGCACCCGTTGTAGTGAGAATTGATTTTAAAAATTGTATTCCTTCAGTGTAGCATCAGACACACTTCTAGACTAGAGGAGCAACACAAATAGCCCCACAGGTTTTTGCAAGCCCTAAAAAAGGAGTCAGTATAAATCACCCGTTTTGCAAGGTCCTTCTCTGACATTTTTTTATGACCCCACAGACATACACATGGTCTCTCAATGAGAAAGTTAATCTATGTTGGAGGTTGAAAGTGTTTCAAGTGAACCATGCTATTGCACTCAGTTGTAGATGAGATGTTAAAAATCAAGACCCTGTTTGACAGAGAAACCGTAGAGTGAACATAAATTTTCACACAGCAGGGGTTAGTCATTGCGACAGGCTAACGAGAAAGGGAGTTGGGGGGGGATTGATCCTGCAAACTTCTCTCGTTTTCCTCTCGTTTTCCTCTCGTTTTCCTCTCGTTTTCCTCTCGTTTTCCTCTCGTTTTCCTCTCGTTTTCCTCTCGTTTTCCTCTCGTTTTCCTCTCGTTTTCCTCTCGTTTTCCTCTCGTTTTCCTCTCTTTGACCTTGCATTTCTCGACCTCCCTGTCCCTCTCATCTTACACCGACCAAGCGGGCAATAGTATCTCTATCGTAGCATTCTACAAAGTGGCGCTTAAGAGTGCTGTACGCGTTTGGTAACCCAGTAGCGAGTTGTTACCGGGCGGCGGATGATGCTGAATGGTACAATTTTTGTTAATATTTTGTTATAGCAGGATATTGAGCGCGTACGGTATGGCGTTGACGATAGTTTGGCCGGCTCCTTCATGACACCGTCCAACAATGTTGCGCGATAAAGTTTTCCTACGTGCTGCAGATAGTCATACACTTGTTTACATTTGTTCTTGAATCTTTGTAAATTACTGGAATAGACATAGAAAAAAAAAACATTGTAGATTAAACTTGCCCTGAAACGCCCTTGTCGAGCGCATACTGATATTTTTCAGATAGTCACTAGTTGGTTCGATAATTGTTCTTTGTTCCCTGTCGGGGTGACAATTGACCGCCCATGATTGCATTCTTACTAGTTCTTCGAACTGAAAATAGCAACTTTTATTTTTTTTCTCAGTTCGTGAGCGGGCGCTATTCTACAAATCCTGCAATCTGATTGATTCCAAGAGCGGGCAGTATTCTCCCCATCCGGCCCGCTCACAGCGGGCGGTATCCGATCCTTTTAAAAAAATGTTTCAAAGTTTTCTTGGAAGCCTTTTAAATCACCTTTTAATATCATAACGCAAATAAATATGTTTTGATGAAACCTCTCTCTTTCATTTGCATTGCCCTTGTTTTCTCTACCATCTACTCGCTCATAAATTGTTCCGTTTCTGGAGAATCTTGCCGTAATTGCAGCCCTTTATCATTCAGGTTCTTTTCGCAACCATTTGTTAGGTTTTAGAAAAAGATAAAAATTTTATTCACCAGCCAAGATCGGTCCGTATTGAGAAAAACTGTGCCCTCTGACTTTTGTACCGCCCTCGGCCGTACGGCCTCGGGCGATATCCAAGACCTCGGGCACAATTTTTCCCAATACGAACCTCCCGCCTGGTGAATAACATATATATTTTGTGTAGATGGTCAGTGATTCTCGAATCTTTTATTGCGTGGCGACGAGTTTTATACCATTTTTTGCCGCAAAATGTGAATGGACCATTTACATTCCTTGAAAAAAGTTGCAGGTCCGAAAAAAAAATCCTGAAATAACAGTTGCGACGTCTTTTTACCTTTAGAAGTAACGTCACCTTTAATTCATTAGGTGTACAATCGCATAACGAATAAAATTTTCGGAATCTGATTGCCAGACTTACAGTTCTTGTACCGTTCGGTAACCCACCAAACAACGCTCGCAAAAGCCCTGTTAATATTTAATAAATTTGAACAATTTTTTCCCTGCCATTAGACAACAGATTTGACGCATAAAATGAAAAAATGGGACAAAATTGCTTTTGTGATCCTTATTTAACTTTAGTTGTCACAAAGTGTACCCACAGGTTTCAAAATTGTAATTAATAAATGACAACTATATGTACCGAGGAAGAGGAGGTAGATATGACAACTGTGTGCCAAGAAGGATTTGTATAAACGTCAACTTTTACCAATAGGGAGAATAATTGAATCTGCATAATCTACACAAGCTTGATAAGCTTAAGTGGCAGAGCAAAAATTACTTTCGTTCGAACAATATCTGTAGCTTATATAGGCCAGAAATTAAAGTGATGAAAATCATTCGCAGAAAGCGATTTCTTTAAACCACCTCGCTAGCTTCCTTGCAGATTGGGTGAACTTTGTTGGATTTATGATATATACAGTTTAATCTACCGTTCTGATTGGTTAATTTCTACATCCGTATGTCTCTGTTCGCGCGCTTCGCGATAGGTTCGGCGCTAAATAATTTACAATGTTCAGTTTTCTATAATAATCTACAAAACGTAGAGACATGAAGGAATTCCTTTAATCAAACTTCTTGTTTCAGTATGCTGCCCGGTTGGTCAGTCATTCAATTTTTTTTCTCATAATTGAAATGATGTTACGAAACGTTGCGGTTTTAGTTTGTATTGTTTGAAACAGTCGCATCGTTAATTGAACAAATGTCTTCGAAAGTAAACCTGACGAAACGAGTTCAATTTTTTTTTTTCTTCAGCTGCACGGACGAGAAAAAAAACTTGGTCGATTACCTCTAAGTTACCCAATCAGCCCGCGTAAAGAAGGGAAAGGTCTAAAAGCTTTTTTAAGTGATGTAAACTTTTAGATAGGAAACAGTCATCCTCAATATGATGCACTCGTCGTGTTGACATTCGAATAAAATCCATTTTGACTTAAAAGCATTTTAATTTTAAAATGAACCATTAGAATTACTATTCTGCTTTAATTTTGAATCATTACTGCTTAAATATAAAGAGGCATAAAAGCTATGCTGCTGAACTAGGAAATCCTGAGACCTCGATTACACATTTATCAAATCGTTCTGAGAAACTACTTCCTACATCTGGCTTTTTAAGGCTCTTATGGAGGACAACTTTCAAAAACAAATTGTACAGTCCAGCAAATATCATTCAAAAAATTAACAGAAGGATCTTATCATCAGAAATTTTATCTGGAACTAACAAGGCTGTAAAGAATCTAACCCGCATCGAGATGATCATCTCCATCAATTGTTGTTTGTTTTCTATGTTTGACAATGATCAGTCGTCAGATTTCGAAAAGTAAAGCGCTTCCGACAAGTCTATTTGTTTAGTTTATGGTAATTTTTCTCTGTTTCATCTTTAAACAATTTGATTTACTGACTAAAAACGGAAATCATTTACCGTGGGCACATCTTCCCATAAGGCATTGAAATGACGTGAAGGTGTGAAGTGTTGTTCTCTTAGGTCACAGAACATATTACTTGCCCACCTTCCCTCAAACTAAAGGCTTTCTGGACTTTCAGTTCATCTACGATGGCCAATAATTTATCAGACCAAAATGAAACATTGTTCCCCTGCAGTTACGATCCATCGCTTCTTCTTCAAGTACCACCCTATCTCTACTACACCTACATTGTCACAGCAGCTTTCAACGCGGTCTTTTCACTAACAGCTTCCATAGGAAACGCTCTCGTTTTAACAGCCCTTGTAAAAACCCGAGCTCTCCACTCGCCGTCTAAAGCACTCCTTCGAAGTTTGGCTTTATCCGATCTTTTTGTCGGTTTATTTGTTCAACCCGTATACATTGCATATTGCCTCTCTGGTGTAGTAGGAAACTCGTGGATTCGATGTACTTCCTGGATTGTCTACCCTCTTCTAAGTGATTACTTCGTAGCAGTCTCGTTTTTCACGATGATCACAATTAGCATTGACAGGTTTCTGGCTTTACACCTTCGTGCCCGCTATCGTTCAGTCGTCACAATAAAAAAGGCAAACATCACCGTGTTGTCTCTGTGGATAACCAGCTTAATCTTCCCAATTGCACGCTTACTGGCAGGAAAGATCACAATAGTTCTTTCTGTTTCATCGTTCTCACTTTTTATAGTGGTACCAACTTTTACGCACTTGAAAATTCAACGCATGCTTCGCCGACAAGAAAGGCAGGTTTTCAACCAGTTCAACCAGTTTTATCTACACAGAGAGGAAAGCTACCTGTCTATTAATAAGTACAAGAAGTCCGTTGCTGCAATGCGCTATGTTTATGTCGTTCTTATGTTGTGTTATATACCCATAACCTGTGTGGCCATTCTGTATGTCAAGAATGACTCATCCCCACTGATTCTACTGTCTTTGGGTAATTTTGCGTTCACATTACTTTTCGTGAACTCTTCGTTAAACCCGATTTTGTATTGTTGGCAAATCAGGCAGGTTCGTGCAGCGATGTGGATGCTTATTAATAACTTAAATCCTTGTTGTTAACCTTTAAGTTACTCCAAAAGACATTGTGTAAGGAGTGGAGTCAGGAATGGATGAATTTCATTTAAGATCAGCAGTGTCGAACTCCTGCACGAAGGCAAAAGTATATCCTCGTCATGCCCTTCTCCCATAAACCGCCATGCACTGCTACCGGCCTGTCCTTCAAGTTTTTCCGCAGCCCTCCCAAACCGACTCCACTCCCGGCTTTGTCAACTTACAACTGTTCGTTGGCAAGTACACGACGACTGAAAGGAACTCTTTGTTACCCCGCAAAAATATTTCAAAGCAGGAAAAACAGGGAAAAAAAAAGCTCTACTGGTAAGGGGTTGTACTTTTTGGTGTATTTGCTTTCTGTTCGGTTTTGCAAAACATTAGAAACATTCTTCGTGTTTAAGAGAACACTGCAAAGCGCTACGTGACTAGAAAAACAATTGTGTTTCTAATGAAAATTGAAAGCTTTCAGTTACTCATTCGGCTTGAATTCTGATACGCTGAAATATTAAACAACTGTAATTGTCGAAGCTATTTTTTCCTGACAATTATTGTAATGCGAAAACTGATCGGCCGTCTGTACAGGGCAAAATTAATTTGAATGGTATTTAGGCCATAAAGGAATATTGCCTTGTGATGCAAGAACATCTCATGACGTCTGTCTTTCAGTAATAAACTGTCATTTGTTTTACTGTTATTTTGTGCCAATTTGATAACTCGACGGGAAAGAATGGATTTAAAATCCTGATGATTTTCCACTGTATTACATTGGGCTAAAATCATCTAGTGCTTGTTATATTTTACTGATTTATTTCTTATCGGTGAAGTCTGGCTCTTACAGATGAAAGTTGCCTCACACAGAAGACATTGCCCTGCCTCTATTTTTCTTCTGTTTCCCTTTCTTCTGTGTGCTAACTAATAGATGTTAAGTGTCATCCGGTGTGTTAACAAAATAGAGACCTTATAAAGCTTTCTCTTGTCAACTTTTGTCTTCTTTTTCAAACACAGCTTTTCAGCTCTGATTAAACTGATCCCCTCCTACAAATGTGAGGTGACACAAATGAGCGGGAAAAAGAGGGTTTCGTTTTGTAAGTTCTGACAATGAAAATTGCATTAGAGAATTTTCATAAAAATAACATGCTAAATCTCCTCCCTCAAAAATTATTCGCAGATACTTTGGCTAATTCCTTTCGCATCCCATTCGGTCTCATTTCAAATATGGCGATGACTCCCGTGGAGACTTGGCCCATAGAATAAAGATAAAGTTATAAAACCAACCCGATAATCGCATATCCGATTGCTTCCAAGTGTATTGTTTCTGGCACTCAGAAGATCCATTTCCCGACGTCCATGCCATTCGTTATTTGTTTTTTAGCAATTACCGCTGTCCGTTAGACAGGATTTTTAATCAGTTTGTTTGGTCAAACATCCAGAGGTGCTAAGCTTATGTAAATTCAAGAAGATATCTCCAATGGAAACATCAAAAGGAAGAAGAAAAAGTAAGGTACACTACTTCGATATCTTTGTCACAGCCGCGTTCAAACTGGGAACGATAACGGTATCAGTATTCGTTGCACAGCGGCAGTTATTACTTTGTATGCGCTGTTTCCAGTAGCAACGCACGCCAGACTAAAACTAAAATCAAGAGAACATAAAAGTGTGTTGGTTGTACGGTTTCTGTACTGTTTTTGTTGTATTTGTGCACCTAATAACAAGTCGACATGGGTGATATAGAACCTCTCGACCTTCATGCAATCATTGGTTTTGCAGGTACGCGAAACTGTATAATGTTTAGCTTCACCACAACTGTGATAGCGCTTTGTAATTTTCAGCGATCTTTCATCCTGAACTGTCATTTAGACGCTGCTAAAATTTCATTTAAATTTAATTCGCATGTTTTTGTAGGTGAGGTTCCAGGAGGTTTGCTGGTTAACAGTGACAGAGAACATCTTATCTATCCTCTTGGCAACACAATCGTCGTCGAGGAAATTAAAGAGGACAAAAAACCAGCTTCTGGTGGGAGAGGATCAGGAACCAAAGGGGGAACCAAAAGTAGGACTACCCCAGAAGATCCAAAGATGCGTCAGAAGCTGTTGTCAGGACACAAAGAAAGATGCCTGGCGGTTTCTTGTCTGGCAGTCTCCAAAAGTGGAAAATACCTTGCATCGGGTGAAAAGACTCACATGGGATTTCAGGCCGATGTTATTCTTTGGGATTTTGAGAAGAGATCCATTAAACATACCCTGGATCCACTGCATAAAGTCAAAGTAGAAGCGCTGGCTTTTTCTCCAAATGACAAATATCTGGTGTCCCTTGGTGGCCAAGACGATGGATCGTAAGTCTATAAAAGTAGATTCTCTATGTGATTGAATTTTATCTTTGGTTTAATGTTTTCTCTAGTTTGTATCGAACTGATTACTAATTACATCCTTATACCTAAAACGCGAGGGAAAATTTGATTGAACCAAGGTTGAAATTCAGTTACAGCATCTACTTTTTTCCGAGTGATAACGACACTCTAAGTGTGAGGAAAGGCCATTTATAAAATTTGGGAGACTCTCGTTTAAAAATGTGAGACTGAGACCAAACAATTGTAGCACATAACCCCTTATCTTTGTCATAGCTTTCATCGCCTAATTGCAAGTACACTCAACGATGGGAATTTTTCTGTATTGGAGTAGTAATACTCTCTTTTGCACATATTTTTTGTAAATTTAATGCCCTCTCATCTCATTATTTTCAGGAAATGATGAGTATTTACAGATATTTTTCAGTAATTATGATAATAGTTAGCTACTCTGGGTACCTTTTGACTGACTCCTAGACTTAAACCCCTGAAAGAAATGCAAGGCTTTCAGACTAAAATGAGCTAAACTATACAGGAAGGAGAGTACAAGCTACATCTGAGACAGTTAGAAGGATCTCAGTTTAGCAAAGGTTTACTGCTTTCTTTTAAAGGCCTTTGACCCCTGATAAAATTAGTAATGAAGAGCTTGAGCTACCAAAGAACAGGAGTTGAAAGTCAGGATAAACAAGTGTATTACATACTGTTTGGATCAGAAAAGTATTTGTACCAAAGCTTTATATCATTAATACCAACAACAACCATTAAACTGAGGAGAAGCTTTTTGTGATTTCCTTTGAAACACTTGTCAGAACCAGAGAAATTCAATACAAGATATTTCATGTAATCTATTTTTATACATTAAATGGAGTGATTTTCAGATTCAAATAGTTAAAAAATCTCCTGTGATGTATCTGAGACATTAGTATACATATTCTCCATACAGTTTGTCATACTTTTCCTAAGGTGCTGACAAAGAAAATTTGTCCCAAAGTCAGGAGCCTCTTTAGTTGGTGATCATTTCCTTTTAATATTCTTGTGATCTCACCTGTAATTTAGAGGTGATGCTGTAAGGAGAAATCAGATGGTAGTCACTCCAAGGGTCAAAAGGTTACGATAAACACTGTTTATACTATTTTTCACATTCTCTATATGATATGTCATGTTGGAACAGTGCTAAAATAAATTGCTCTAATCAGAATAAAGCCTTGACCATTAAAACATATTTCTTTTCCAAATTTTTTTCTTCTTTTACTCACAGAATTGTTGTGTGGGATGTCAAGAGTGGTTCGGCTATTTGTGGAAGTGTGGCAGGTGCTCCAAGTGCTGGGACTACATTTGCAGTAGCTTATGCTAACTTGAGTGATGAGATATTTGTCACTGGTGGAGAGTAAGTACTGCTGATGCTCCTGAAATCTTTAAAGTTTTTATGATTTGATGGTTATATGTTGGAACACTGCAGGGCTGAGAATTTGAAAGAAGACAATAGTGTTAACTATGGCCAAAAGCTATTAACCATCCTAACATCAGTATACATATACTTGATACTATTTGCCATACATTTCCTAAAGTGCTGACAAGGAGAATTTGATTATCATTCAAGGGCTTCTTTAAGTTGGTGATCATAACTTTTATTCTCATGGCCTTAATGTGTGATTTAGGGGTGATATATCATTAGAAGAAATTAGATTGTAGACACTCTAGATTGTAGACACCCCAATGGGCCAAAAGGTGAAAGTGATTGAACCGGATCTGAAAGTAAATAATTTGTATAACAGTAAATTGACAAAATACAGTTGAACCTGTATTAAGCGGCCCCCTATTGAGTGGTTATCCTGTATTAAGGGGTCAGTTGTGGTAGTCCCAAATTTATTTTCCCTAAAACATTGAAGTTTTCACTTCTATTAGGCGGTCACCTCTAGTAAGCAGTCACGGTCACCCTTAACTGACAAGTCCCAACAGTCTCTTTCTATTATCTCCCACTTTTATTGAATGGTCACCTAACATGGAACCACTCAAATAAATCAAGAACAAGCTTTTAAGTATCTTACATCCATGTTTATCTTTCAAAATCAATGCTGTAGATGTATTTTTGAGTGAGTTTTTGTACATTGATTGGTCAATTATGGCATAAAATGGCATTTTTTGCATTTCATTTTTTTTTTTAAAAAGCCCTATTCTGTGGAACCTTTATTAAGCGGTCACTGTGTCATTCCCCTTGGGTGACTGCTTAATGCAAGTTGGACTGTAAATACAAGGATGTAAGCCTTTGTTTATTTCACAAGACTTTTTCTTATTACATTACCAGTAATACCTTGAGAGTTTGGGAACTGGATGTTGAAAACCGTAAGATCCGTCCAACTGAAGTTGGTATGGGACAGTTAAAACGAATAGTTAAATGTATTCAGGTGAGTGATGCTAACTGTTTTCCTGTAGATAAAAGCATGTTGTGTTTGGAGCAGTCTGGCCTAAATTCATTAATTTTAACTCCACAATATGATGATTATTTAATGCTAATTTTTGATTAGAATACTCTTAAACATTAGTTAGTGAAATGAGTGCATGCACATTTTATGCCTTGAATGTGAGAATGAAAAGTGGAACTAGAATTTGTACTCTTCTTGAATCATAATTCACTTTGAAGTAAGTTGCAAATTTCTCGAAGAGTTCTTTGCTGAGTTGAGCTTCAAGTTAATAATGGTTTGCACTGAGAAATATGTTATTTCCACACAGGGATATGTTGCTTCAGCAGCATTGTGATGTTTTCATTAACAGGATATATTACTGTCACTCAGTGATGTTTCACCTGCACTCAACATGACATTGTCACAGATTAGCAGTGTATCGTTTCCTTTAGCAAGACATTGCAGCTGTAGCTTAGAGAAAAAATTGTTCATTTGTTTGTTTGCTTTTCTCCCAAAGGTACTGTCTCCTGAATGCTTGGCATGGAAATTGTTTTCTTTATTTTTTTTTATGTATGGTCTTTTTATAATAATTAACCACAAGATACATTTTAAGTGTTGCCAAATGTTTGTAACTATGAATGTAATCAGTGACATAATTTTGATTTTTACAGATGACTGAAAATGACAGCCACTTCTATTGTGGAACTACCACAGGAGACGTTTTAGAGGTAGACAAAAATTTGCATATTGAAGCTGATGAAAGTTTAACTTGGCAAAATAGGGATTTAACTGCATAAAAGAGCAGGGTGTATATTTCTACCATTTGAACTAATGATGAAACAAAGCCATCTTCAAGTTAGCAAAACCCTTTTATCTGAACATTTACTTTTTGTGAACAACTTCACTAATCACATAGTCACAAGGAGTGATGTATCAACCATAGGAGTCTTTAAACCCCTAAAACTGTTTTTCAACCAGCAGAGTCTCAAATTTCAACCAAAAGGGTTCTATGTACCCTTCCCCCTTAAACTTCATTTTTTTCATACAAATGTCTCCAAATCCTCAAATGAAATTTAAAAACTTTTTTATTTGGATAATTTATGCTTAGCCTTGAGGTTCTAATTCATTTCCTTATTTGCATGTGCTGTCAAATATTGCAGATCAATATGACAACTAAACTTATGACTACCTATGGGCCATTGGCCAGTGAACGTCTCAGTCTTGGAGTGCTTGCTATTCGCATTCCACGGAAAGGTGAAATTCTGGTTGGATCAGGAGATGGGACAGTTGCCATCCTCAAAGTTGTTGAAAAAGATGATAAAAGAATAATCAAGAAAACTCAGTAAGCGCATTTTTATAATAATAACTTTTTTCCATCAAATTATTTAATCCATCATCCTGTCCATTAGTCATCAGTCAGTCAGTTTGTTAAAGAATACTATTACGTGGACCCCTTCTTTGAATTTATGGCAGTTTTTTGAGTGAATAAGCAGCTAACTTACTTCGTTAGTTACTCATGCAAAGAAACAGTTGGTGGCTAGATTTGGCTAAAAGTTCTTTGTATAACAGTGTGACCATATAGTCTGATCATCCAGAGTTGAGAGTCCAGAGTAGACCCAGATGATAAGTTTCACTTGGGTTATCAAAACATCAGTCACCACTATGAACAAAAAAGCTTTTCAGGACTACCCTCACCCAGATGATCACACTACACAATCACATGTTACCCCAGGTTCAAAACATTTACAGTAGAGATAAGTTTGTTTCCATTTACTAGGAAAACTTTGCTCTAAGGTTGTCATGGACACAATATTCTAGCACCAGCCATGGTGTGAATGTAGTGGGGTTCACACTGGAAACCACTCAAATTTACCAATATAATCACTGGAAAGCATATATAGTCATCCAAGTTTACCTATGTTCTATCTTTCAAACCATTTTATTACCTGCTTTCTTATAATGGACCGTGTTGTTTGATTTAGATCTGTCACTGTGGATGGTGGGATAACCTCAATAGCATTGAGAGGCCAAGGACATCAGGTGTGTTCAAAACCCAGAATTATTGAAAAATTTTTAAGTCAACTCTTATGCACTGTGAAAATGGCCAAACTTTAGGATAGAACATAATTTTTTGTATTGCACTCACAAGCACTTTTTTGTGATTACAATCAATCAGTTTTGTGATTGCCAACAAAATTGTTTCGGTAGAGTGAGGTCATTAATAGCATTGTTTTCATGGATGAAATTTGGAAACATCTTTCCCTGCCAAATATCATGGTAGCCCAAGTCTTTCTGGTGATTGAATCAAGTTAGTTAAAGTTGAGAAAGGCTAAAGATAAGTAAAAACAAATAACACAGGGATGAGGGCAGATCATCAGCAAAAAGTGGGATTGGTCTAAATACAAAAATGTGTACCTTTCCCATGTTTTACAGATTTGTATTGTATTAGCTGTTGAAGTGTTCTGAGTTGTGATGAGAATTTGATTAATTTTGATAAATTTTTACTTTTTTACCACAATGTTGGTTCAGCAGTAGCATAAAACACAATTTGTGAAAAACAGTTGGTTGAACTTCAGTGTCCATATGTTATTGTAGGACAATTAAAACTAATCTGTCCAATATTAAAATTTCTGTTAGCTTTGGTGATGCTCTTTTGATCTATATAATACATGAAACTTAAATTTTATACCTACATGTCCACCTTTTAAGACATTATGCACAATAAAACCTGTAAGTTGTACTTGATCTTTAGGTATTTTTCAGCATAATACTCAAAGACCACATTATTTCTTCAGTTCTTTGTAGGCACAAAAAACTCCCAGATTTATCTGTTCAGCTACAGTACATTTGGTGCAAAAGAGTATGACAGGATAAAGACTTGCCACTACTCCCCTGTCACTGACATCATATTCCCTCAGTAAGCAGATTTAATGTTTGAGAAAGTAACACATAGCCCTATCTCTATGTATGGTTAGCATAATGATTTATTTTTGCACTGTTGATGACAAAAAGAGTTGCAAGCTTTGTGCCACGTTTCCCATTCCTAGTGATGGCTATCAATGTTAAACTAAAAGTTCTGTAGAACACATGTCCAATCTGAGAAGTTAGTTAACTTTGCTTTTAGCTGAATTTGCATCTAACAGTTTTTCTCTCAGGGACTCTTTGATCATCAGTATAAAAGTTGCCATTAAGCTTGTGTTTCTCAGTACTTTTTGTCTTACCTTTTTGCTCAAAAGATAAGTCAAGATTAGAACTTTATTGAAGTGTCTGAAACACTTTAGCATGACTACTACCTACTTCATAAGAAATAAAATTAAAAGTCGAGTGAAAATTCAAGCTGAGTGATGGAGAAAATAATCTCGCAAAAAAACTTTACATTTTTTAGCTACGATGTACATAAAAGGTAGTCTGCTAATTTTTGTAGAGTTCCAAATTCGTCTCATAGCATTTTTAACACAGATTACAGATTGAATTGATGTATGAATTTGATTTTCAGTGACAGTTCAGACTTGTTTCTTACCTGTGCTAAAAGTGAAATCCGAATTTGGTCCACAAAGACAAACCAAGAGATTGTGCGCATCACCGTTCCTAACATGACTTGCAATGCTATCGAACTGATGCGCTGTGGAACAAGTATCATAAGCGGTGAGGATTCAAACTCTTTAATTACTAGAAGTGAAAGTTCTGAAATATCTCAGGTATAGAACACCTAGTGCTGAATCTGGTTTCAGTATATGTAATTTAAATTTCTTTGTGATCAATACCCACCTCCAAATCAATACCACATCAAATTTTATTTCCTTGTGCGCAACAAGAAAAGAAAACTCCTCACGAGGATAGGAAATGTTGTGGTTTCTTCCGCAACAATTCACCTTAACCAAATCGACAAGCATCCATAGAGAGGTCATTACAAACTCTCTTGATTGATTTTTTTCTTCTCATGAATAGTATACATTAGTGGTAATAAAGGACGTTCTTGTTTCGATGGGAAGGGGAATTTTTTGGGAATTACGCCAGGCTCCGTTTGCATGTCATAGACGTCCAAGAATTCCCCCTTTCTGTTTCACGGGTTGATCAACATAACTTAGACATGTCAAACCCTTTAACTCCCAAGATCTGGTTGTTAATTCTCCCCTCCAGCTATTACACATTTCCTAACGAATTAGTATCAAGAATTTGTGTTGGATCAGAAAAACAATTTCTACCCGATAAGTTTAAGAATTCTCAACACCTGCATGTCTCTTGGATAATGTCTGGATATTACAGGGATAAATTATCGGTTAATCACTCCTGGGAGTTAAAGGGTTAACCCCAGTTGGACACCTGCTACCTCTCCACTTTGGTAAAGAGTGGTGGGGAGAGGATTCGGTCACTGAGATCATGCCACTTTGACATTATTCTTCCCAATGTGTAACGCTACTTCCGTTATTATCCAGGTTGGGACGACGGAAAAATCCGCGCATTCACACCAGAGAGTGGCCGCTTGCTTTATGCAATAGACAACGCTCATCAGATTGGCGTCACGGCTGTAGCCACCACTAATGATAAGAAACATATCATTAGTGGGGGAGGGGAAGGTGAAGTTCGTGTCTGGACTGTTGGTGGCCGCACTTGGAAACTCAAAGGAGCCATGAAGGAAAAGCATAAAGGTAGCATTGAAAACCAGTGATAGTCGCTATCTGGCCTAAAATGAATTTTCAAATGACTGTATGTTTTCTTGGTATTTTTCTCGATTAACAAGTGGAGAACGTGGCGAGGAAAGCAATAAGACGTTATTTTGCGCATTTTTTCCACTTGTAGTGTGTGTACTTTTAGCACAAGAGAAGTTTCTTAATTTTTTCAAGACGCGTTCGGACTGAAATTTTAGGTCCTCTCCTTTTCCACGCGTTTCGTTTTTTAGCTAAGCACACAGAGGTGTCGTAACTTGAGCTGGAGATTATGGGAAACAATTTATTAGATTCCATGCAAGTGTTAACCAACGTAGCTGGCAGGTTTTTTAAACCTTTGAAGCGCTGTCCGGTGCGGTGGAGAACGAGTAACAAAGCTACAAGAGCCTTGGAACGAGTTCGCGGTTCTGTCGTATTTATTTTTTATTGAGCGCACAAAACATAGCCCGTTCCTTAGCTTATGCAGATATCAGCTTAACAATTTTAATTTTACTGCAGTTAACTTATAGTATTTTTCTAAGGTGCTGTTACTTCCATCAAAGTTCGGCGCAACGATCTGGAGGTAAATATTTGTACCGTAAACTCTCGTACCTAGACAATCTCATATTTAATCACTCCCCGACAGTAGGTTCTGTTTACAGTCTGTGCTAATAACTTTTGCACAAGAGAAAAAAACGAGGCATATGTTCAGTGCATACAAATGAACTCTGGTTGACTATGGATAAATTTCGACTCGGTAAAACCGCCCTGGAGATTTGCAGATCTAACGGTATACTCTCTTTTCTTGTAGACCCCAAAGAGACCGACTCCCCCATCTGTTTTATTACCTTATCAACCTTAATTTTTCTTCTTTTTTCCAGTGCGTCTCAGCTAGCAAGGACGGCACGTGTATTGTTTGGGATTTGGAGTAAGTACATCATCTATTGTACCTCTTTTTTGCTGAAACCTAACATTTGACAATGATTCTTTTAACTGTATACGTGCGGTGGAATGAAAAAAAACTCTGAAGCCTAATTGTCACTAGCTACCAGGACGAACATAAAAACAAAAACAACCTCAAGAAAAACAGGTCTTATTTCGTCGTAAGAATGGCTTGGACATAAGAAAATGTCAAAGCGCAGGGATAAAAGACATTCGACCAGCTTTTGTATGTGCCTGCACGGTCTCCTTCGCAGCCGTCTTGTTACAAGGGCTGTGAATTTGAGATTGGTGCTTGCATCGCCTGTTTGGTCTTTAAGAACGATCCAAACCCATGACCGCCACGGTATGTTATTAACTTTTATCTTGGATTGTTCTAGGCAAATGGTAAGGTACACAATCGTGTTTGCTAACACCATGTTCAAGGCAATCTGCTACAATCCACCAGAGAGTCAGATCATCACGGCTGGTACGGACCGGAAGGTAAGCGACCGAATGAGTCATCACCGCTAAATAAAGAGACTAGAAAGCTTAAGGCAGAACTTTGAGAAAAGAAGGGTTTAGTTAAATGTAGGTTACGTCTAACCTACACAACTTAATGATTGTAAATATATAAAACTCAAATATGTGCACTGCGCTGAAGAAACGAAGATAAGCTATGAACACAACTGAACTAGTAGTTGAAAATAAGACCTGAAAAAAATTCAGGCAATTTACTTTGTATATGCGGAAACTGACAGTTGAGCCGATCTTAAACTATCGTTTTGAGTACAGTCAAACAACTCTTGACTGTAAAGCAGATCATTTTGAAGGAAATTGTTTCGTATTTATTACGAGCGTAGGACAAGGAAATATCTGGGAATCCCGAGAGGGATTGGACATCAGACTTTCGGCCTTCTATGTTCCACGCTTTGTAGGACAAAAACTCGTCCGCATGTATAGCAAACTCGTGACTCTTTAACCCTTTAACTCCCGTCAGTGATTATCATGTAACTTCTCCTTATTATATCCATATATTGTTTAGCAAACAGGTAATGAGAATACTCAAACTTATCAGGTTGAAGTTGTTATCTTGATCTAGCACCAAATTCTCGTAACCAATTTAAAAGGAAATGTGTAGCAGCAAGAGGGGAGAACTAACAATCAGATCTTGGGAGTTAAAGGGTTTAATTTCGTATTGCCAACAGATTGTTTACTGGGAAACATACGACGGAGGGCAAATTCGAGAACTGGAAGGGTCCAAACGGGGATCTATAGATGGTATGGATATATCCTTCGACGGGACACACTTTGTTACCGGTGGCGCCGACAAAGAAGTTGTGGTATGTACACGCATAACCTGTCACTGTTTGGCATCTTAGCGTACTAGCACAATCTAATGGTGGAAGGTTAAGAAAATAAGCAATGGTTATGGTACAAAAATCTGAAGATAAGATGAAGAAACAACTCTACAATGCTTTAAATACTTAAAATTGATTCACGAATTACAAAATAGGTGTTAGCTTGGTGGGTGTACACGGGGGGTGTACAACGCTTACATGTTTGTCTTTGTTTATGAAGGATACGCTTAGGTGAAAAATGACCCATGAAATCTTTGTATGTATCTTCTTAATGTTAAACAATGTGAATATTTTAAAAGTTGTAGAGTGAAAAACTTTAAGCGTCCATAACCCAAACATTCTTTTGAGAGCTAGTGTGTGCAATCTTTAGAGATGACCTATCTTTGTAGAAACTAATATTTATGAAGAACTTCATGCAGTAACTCACTACTCCGCTGCAAACGTATTACCGAGATTTAGACTTGAAATGTATTTTCTCTAGGTCACAGTTGCGTATACACACTTTTCATTGCTTCTTATTTTTCATTCCTACTTGCTCACTCACCTGACTTTCTTTATGACCCTTGACCTATTTTGACCTTAATTTGTAGGTGTGGAAGTACAATGAAGGCCAAGAGACTCATGTTGGCAAAGGCCACGGAGGGGGGATCACAAGGGTGAAAATATGTCCAAACAACAAGTGGATTGTCTCCATAGGAACGGACGGCAGCATTCTGAGATGGAAATACCCTCATTAAGACAACTAACACTGATTTGTAATTGTATGACTGTGGAACGTTTCTTCTCAAAAAATTGCCAAAGTTTAAGTTTTTATCAGTGGCAGATACATGTAACATTTGCTTGGAATATCACTTTGAGGTGTTTGAAGAGATTTACATGGAAACTTAATTGTTTTGTAATTTAATCAACACGGTTCACGGTTTTGATTGACTTAGTTAGACTATTGTAGGGTGATGACGTTCAGGTCAAGATCATGATGCCGGTGAAAGTTACTATATTATGTAAATTGCCTTGTGTACAGTGAGATTATGGAATTTAACCTTTGTAACTTGGATAATTAATTTTTGATGGGTCAGGCAAGGAGATAGGGTTTGCTACTATTTTTTTAAAAGTTTCGGCGGTTTGAGTTGGACATCATCATTCTTGAAATATATTTGATTTTCTTTGTTTTATAGTGCTGAAACTAATTGTTTACTAGTTTAAGGCAGATGTTGGGGCAGACGCAAAACTTAATGTAAAATAATGTGTGTTGTTATCGATAAATCTGCCCACTTTTCATCGCTTGACACCATTTGTGGTAATGAATGGTTTACATGCCATTAAATATAGAGGCCCTATTAAAACACATTCAAAAATACTGGTTAAATTTCGGGACTTATTGCGTAGGGATTGGTGTAAGTGTGCTCACTTAATGTATATTTTGATAGGAGTTTTTAAGAAACAGCAAACTTGAATCGAAATTTGACATACGAGACAAATATTTTTGAACTTGGATCTTGCCAACTACCCGGACGAGAGGGAAGCTATCGTGTGAAACAGTTCCAAATACTAAGTATTTATCTTGGGTTTGTTTATTATTTCCAAAACGACTTTCTACCTAAAATTTCATACTTTTGTAGTAAAAATCGGGAAGAAAGGGTGTACCCAAGGTAACGCCCCCGAAGGAATTACCTGCCGTTTATTTAAGTTAACTGATTTTAAATTTCAGTGCGGAAGATGAGAAGTTCGAGTTGTTTACACCTTTAGTCACCTTACAGAAGAGCAGAAGAGGTGTTGCCGCAAGATAGTTATTGAAACATTTCACCGGAAGTTGCTAGTAATCGGATCCTTGCGTTTCCGCACAGATTTCTGTGATCGCCACGGGGCAAACATTTTAACTCGCTATAAAGGAAAGTAAAGGCGAAAGGTTGTTTGGACGTTCAAAAAAGCGATTTTGGTGACATGATGGCTCTCTCGCCGCAGTTTCATCATACATGGATAAAGATAATTTTGTTACTAGGGAAGTTTAAGTTTTTATTAGAATTACCACAAAATGTGTTATAAAAAATACCAAAAAACTTCTCTACTTGCGTAATGTCTATTGTGAAATCGTCCGCATCGCGTAATGGTCTCGAAATAATACAAAATTAGCCATAAATCGTTAGGAAATAACTCATTTAAGTCTTTCCAGTTATATTTATATTTGTGCAGCCTGTTTTCATACTTGTTGACGTACTTGACAAACAAATTACGACGTTTGAAAATACTACCTCCTCAAAGGAGAGAGGTCGTTGTCAGCGGAGATGGAAATTATTTTTTACCGAGCTGTTGCTCTCTGGAAAGATGAAATAAGCGATGGAAAACATGAGGAAATCTCTAGTTCAAGTGATAGTTTATTTGAGAAAAAATCCAAGGGTCTTTGAGTTGTAACTTTTCTTCTCGAACTCCCTGAAGGATCTTGGCAGGAAAAGCAAGATCACGGGGGAACTCCGAAAGAAACTGTGGACATATCATCAGTTTTGCATCGCTCCTTAAGAGACCAATTTGTATCACTAGTCGTCACAGGAGGGTTCAGTTTTGAGCCGATTATCAACGCTGATTCGTTCTCATTGATCACAAAAAAGAGGCATTGTAGGTATTTTATCACTTTAATATACCACATTAATATATTTAATGCTAAAGCACGCCATTTCAATCTCTTGCTGCCTCGAGGTAACTTTTGCAGCGTTTTATTGTATTACCAAGCCACGAAAAAAGCTAGAAATAGTCTTGACACACGTAAGAAAAAACTGAAACGGCTTAGTTGAATTATTCCTTGGCGATCTATAGTTAGTTTTCCTAAATTTCGAGACCATTTCGCGATTTCAAATTCTCAATAAACATTGCGCATGGAGACAAGTTAATCGGTAGGTTTATAATGGTAATTGAAACTGAATGGAGTGCAGTTTGGGCTGAAATCATACGCGTGATTTAAAAATCGAACAAGTGCGCAGCGCGAGTTCGATTTGAAATCACAAGTATGATTTCAGACCAAAATTGCAATCCACTCAGTTCAATTACCACTTTATTACATCCATTTTGAAATCGCCCAAATACAGGACTTGGTCAGTTCAAATATTTCATTGATGTAGCACTTAGCCGGTTTGAAATTAAATTCATTCATTTTTGGGGGGGAATAAACAAGAGTTTTGGAAACAAAATTTGCAAAATTTGCCACATGATACTTTTTGTCTTTCATTTTCCTGCAATTTGAGTGGTTACTTTAAACAAGCCTTGAAATCTGATTGGTTATTTTGTTTTTAGTGCAGCCTCCTCATTGGCTGGGAAAAAGATGGAATTTAAAGTAAAAATGGTGCGATTCGTGAATAAATTGCACCAATTAGAGCTAATCAGATTACAGGGACCACCAGTGATTTCAAAATGGGTGTAATAAATAATGGTAATAAGACCGAGTGGAGTCTAATTCGGTCTGTAGTCACCTGAGTGACTAACAAAATCGAACGACTGCAAAGCGGGAGTCCGACTTGGTAATCACGAGCATTGTTACAGACACAATTGGACGATCGAAGTCCTGTTACCAATTAATCATAACCGTTAAAATTTCCGAAAAAACTGATTCGTTTAAGACGAACACCTCCGGTAGAAACAATAGGTAAAGTAAAAAATTCCTCTATGTTGGAAATTCCCGAGTGCTTTTTTTTTTTTTTTTTTTTTTTTTTTTTTTTTCAGGATAAGTGGTTGTTGCTATGGTTATTGAGATCAATTCTGCGACTGGTGGATTTAGCTGAGTGGACATAGCATGATTGGCTGCTTCAACTGCCTGATTACAGGTGTGCGATTACAGCCAACTGTGCGATTGCACTCTCCGATTACAACTGAACAGAATGATAAGTGAAGAATAAAGCAGCTAATGCACTAATCACATTTTAGGGAATTGTGACGGTTATGCCTACTCTTGAAAATCATTTGAAACAAAATATCAGTCTTCTGACGGTCTCTTTTGCAGCTTGTCTAATGCCTTGAATTCTCCAACAATATAGAAGAGGATTTAAAGAAGACTTGAACAAAACCAAAGTCCCGCACCAATAAAACGCCGCTGAAACATCATCGTTCCATCCACTGAATCGGCCGATGATTTTCAAACAAACGTAAGGGAGATAACAGACACACAGAGAGGCATATACATACAGCGCGCTAACGAACGACTTCCGGTATGTCAACATATTGAACGAGCTGTCGTCTGCGTTTCTTTTAAGGATACATGAAGGCAACCTGGAAGCAGTGTAGTGAAAGACTTGCCTTGTTCGCTGCTTCCGAATGGATACATACACCAAAATACAGCACACAGAGGATATAAGGGCGCACACAAAAATCCCTCCGTAAGTTGCCCCTAGGTACAGAGGGTAATTCCATAAGAATGCTGTTGACATAGTTGCGCTTAAAATGTATGAAAATATCAAAGCCATAGTTACCCGTCGAAGTGTTACTGTTTCTCGGTATCTGAATTTTAAGCGCAGTGCTAGAAGGCGGTCCATACTTATGGCTGTCATGGTTAGCAATGAAATTGCACAAAGCAAAACGGACAAAATGTTATGAGTAGCGTGGATTACCCCGTCTTGTTTTGATTGACCATTCGAACTCATCTCAGTTAAAAGATAACCCAAATAAAGTGGATGACCAATCACACCAACGCCGAGATCGGAGAGAGCTAGACCAAAGTACAATGCTTTAGACGGAGCGTGAAGCGAAGATATCTTTCGAAGAGAAATTGCTATCACGATGTTTCCAAAAGTCGCCGTAAATGATAAAAAGACATTAAGTACGCAGTTTCCTATGTATGAAACTAAGAGAACGTTGGATAATTTAGGAACAGACGAGTTGTCGAAGCTTTCATCTACGCTGGTGTTGTTGGAATTAGAATTCGCCATCACCTTCCAGCGGCAAACAGGTGATATGTCTTCGCCTGGCGAGTGCCCTCAAGACAGGAGTCTAGGCGAAAGCAATCTCTGACATAAAGAAAAATATAAATTGTTCAAACATTCAGACCGGAGCTACAGCAAAGCCAAAATATACAGACTGATGAAATCCATTTAAGTTAACTTACAAAATTTTGCACGCATATTTGTTTGCATGCCACACATTACGCAACAACGTCAAGTTTTGTCAGGCACTCTAATTTACAAACAGCTGAAATTGTTATCAGTCATTTTAACTCATTAATTTCTTATGTTAATCATTGGCGATGTAAAAGTTCATAATTTCCCCTCAGCCAAACCGATTTCAGTGGAATGTGAAAATTTTCCGCGAAAACGATAAATTTCATTTCGCCGTAAAAGCTCTGAGAAAATAAAATTCAAAAAACAATTCAACTTGTAAAGAGGTGAACACCGCAAGCAGAAAACCGACAAAGATTCACGTGATAATTTTAAGCGCTTTGTTTTTCATGTGGGTTTGTAACTCATTGAGAAATGAACGATTTGGCTAAAAAACTCCATTAACGTACAATGATAAAGCTACTGTCATTCAAATCAGGTAACACTGAAGCGCTGAAAAAAAAAACAGTTGCTAAACTTATCCTTTCCGGTCGGAGAACATAGTGCGAAACTCAATAGCTCCCGCATCTCTTCTTTTGTTAAAATATTCGAGAACAATCTTTCAAGTTCCTGTTTTCAATTGCAAATTGGAGACATAGCCAATACAAGCCCGTCAATCCTCTTGGACATAACACCACATTTACATGAGATTATATCTGCATTGGAAAAGTAGTATATTTTAAGAAAGGGATTTTGATCTTAACGTTGATAACCGAACATGAGCCTCAAAAGTAGAATTTTGTGTGATTTATGTTTAGGGGTCATTTCCTAATAAAAAAAAGCAGATGATAGAAAAACCAGAAAAGAAACTTTCTTAATCAGAAAAAATTTTGCAATCGAAAATCACGTGGGCGATCAAACTACAGTTAACTCAAGTACCCTAAAGCAGTCGTTAGAAAACTAGTTAGAATTTTCTTTAACAATGAACAAATACTACTTGTAATAAAACGATTTCACACATCAGAACAACTCTTTCAGTTACTACGTATTCCAAATGTACTTGAATGATGAAAAAATAGCAGCCAGTGCGGTGTCACCAAATATTAAATAACGAAGTCAAAGTAGACCGTCTGGCGTTTCCTTCTCACCAAGAGATACGCCTTTAGAACCCAAGTCTACTTCTCAGAAGTCGCCACAGAGTGTTTCAACCAACCGTATGTCTACCAGTTACCTGATGTGAAGTCTACCGCTATAGGTTACCTCTCACTATAATTTATGATTTCGATTTTCTCCTCAAAAGTCAACTTAGCCTGAAATAACAAGTGTGTTGAGATATCAAATCCAAATGAATGATGTCCAAGAGCAGGTGTTGACAGTAATTAAAATGGTGTTAAATTGATCTACCCCGTTGTGACATTTCAACTTACTTTTTGTGTTATTTAGGAACGGCTAAATGGCCTCGTTGTGGGTTTATTTAAATCCACATGTGTAATTGTTTATCTTCAACTCAAGAGATTCGACGTCTCTAAGTAACTTGAATTTCTAAACTTTATGAATATTTTGGATATGATAGATCAAAGTGATTGTTTTGGTTTAGATGCCGCCAGATTGTCGCTTCTCGTCATAAAACAAGAATATAACGAACAAATTATATAAAGTAAAATTACAACCTTTTAAGAAGCATTACAAAATTTATGGGTGGACTTGAAAAGCCTGTTAAAAATCTTAACTGAAAAAAAAAAACCTTGAACCAACAAAACCCTTTTATAAATAATATCATTAAAGTTAACGTTACGCTCTCGACAATGTAGTAAACTTGTAAAATTAATTTCACCTATCAATCCCGAATTCGAGAAAGGATATTACTGAATACTTTCAGTAACCATGCTAAACCATTTACAACAATGAAACAAAAATAGGTGTGCTTTTCAATTGAGTGTCATAAAACCGAAACCAATAGCTGCAATCAGAAGAAAGGAAACTACCTTTAAGAGCCAATGAGAACTCAAATTAAAAATTAAAAAAAAACTGCCTAAAGCGCGGGAAAACGTGGGGAATCAAGTCGTGATTGGTACTAGTCATGACATCTAATTGATTAGGAGAGATACACGAGTTTTCTGGACCAATCAAAGAGCGAAGTTAAGAAAAACCATTGCAATTTAGGATTACTTTCAACAATTAATTGAAAATTGCTCTAAAAGTGAACCTTACGTAAACATGATATTATTATTATGCTCAAAATTTTGAGGATAATATTATATAAGAAAAAATCACGCGCTTTTGATTGGCTGAAAAACGAGTGCATTCTTATACAACACGAATGCAAAGTTGTAACACGAGAGCAAATTACAAATATACGACTTTCATAATGGCGGACATCGCGAGAGTCCTGGATCGAGTTGCATGAAAACGAGGTCTGAAAGGCCAGACTATCGCGTCTCGTCCCTCTTCGTTTGTTATGGCGAGCACTTCAAATATTTCAAAATCCGACATTTCTTACGGAAAACGATATACCTGGCGCTTCTCTTCTCAGAAGAAAACCTGAGGAGTTAAAAACCTCAGAGATTAAATTTTGGCTTAAATGTTGTGGAGACGCGGTGAAGCGAGTGCATGGCTACATACGAAACTTAGTTTCTGGGCCGAACAAGGGCAGAAACTGCTTTCTTATTACTTTGGATATTTTATTAAGTTTGCGTAAGCAAAGCTTTTCAATTGAAATTGTCTGGCAAATAACAACAGTGATTGTGAAGTCTTGTGAACAGCTACATCTGGTTTACCCTATCATCCAAAATTTTTCTTCAAAAGCTATTTTGTTATGACATCTCTGTTTTTTTCAACGGAATTGATAATACCATGCTTCTACATTCAATTATTCTTAATTGTCGTGAATTTACTTGTTGACTGGGAATTAATACCTTAGATGAATAAATTCTTATTGTTTTGTAGCTTTAATTTGTTGTGGGTTGAAATTTTTCCAACCGGTTTGATTTTTAATCTCCTTTGTTTCAAAGTATGCTAAAGAATACAAAGGAAAATTAAAACCAAACTGGTTTAAACATTTTGCACCAAAGATAATTTAAATACAACATAGACAACATGGTCTTTACAGACAGAATAGAAGTCGCTCAATTATGATGTAAACCTTGCGATAAATAGTCAGAGCAGAGGGGAAAATGTTGTCTTTATCTTAATGCCTAATTTGTAGCCCCTCACAATCTAGGGAGAGAAGAGATTTGTAAGCAATTTATGGGTTAAGTAATTCATTCATGCCTCACATGAATGTGATATTCACACTGATATTATGTTAGGTTGTGCATTACAACAGAATGCACACACTGCCCACATCTGGTTTACAATTCCCATTTGATGTAGTGAAACAACTCTGTCCCAGATGTGAAAATTCTTAATCTTGTTAAAGGCAGGTTCAACATGTATCCGTAAACTTGCAATTTCCTGTGTTTTTACCACATCTTCTACAGCCATCTGAGAAGATGCTCCAAGAAAGGGTGGAAAATTTAAACTGACTCCCAAAGGCAACAAATCCTAAACTATGAATCCCTTATCTGCCATAATGGAGTCTTTGTCATCAAATGGTAGATTTAAGAATCCACTCTATCTCACAATTTCCCGATCGGAGATAGAACCTCTATACAGTTGACTTCTGAATGTCACTGCTCCACTGGGAGAAATACCAACCAAACCTTTCAAAGTTGTGTGATTTTTGTAAGCACTGAAAAGTTCTCAATTCAACTGCAAGCTGCTTGGTATTTGACATATAACCTCAGTACAGTCAATTATGACTCTAGTAGATTTGTT